ATAACAATATACAATTTGACATATAGCCTCGATTGTAACGTGCATAACGTGGACTTAAAATCTGATTTTTATACTATAAAACTATATAATACAATTCACATGTATGCGGTGACTTGTGGTGGCTATTGATTTGATCCGCTGTGGTTAAAACCATAAAACAAACAAAACCTAATGTATTCGCATTCATTTGGTTTGAGGCCTTTTAGAGGCGCGAAGCACTACCACTGAAATTTATTCTGTTCCATAATAAGAACCGTTATTGACAGAACTCGGTTCGTAAAACAATAACGAAATTACCACTGTACATCGATTATTTGGTTATCAAAAGAGTGATTCTATAACCGATTGATAACGCATATCGATATACTACCGCGCATCACGGCTATAAGTATATTACGGGTTTAGAGTTATCGGATCGTAAAATGACCATTATCGCACATTTGAATTTGTATTTAGTCCGTATAATTATTATATTTGTATTTTTCGTAGTCTAGACTACATCATATTGTTCCGAAAACTAATAATAACTTTATAAAGTACAATGGTCTATAGCGATACGGAAAAACAATCAATTTTTGGGAACCATTTGACTAAATTTTAGATATTTATCAACGCGTTGTATTAATTTGATAAATACGGTCTGTTAAATTGTATAACATAATGTACATTGCAGTTATACCTATCATATTGTCGTAAAACGATTTTTTTTTTCCCGACAGTTGTAATATTCATACAGACTATACATTTTATTGAGTAACAAAATATGAAAAAAATCCGCATTGCGGGTGACCGTCGGTTTTGGTTTTATTATTATTCGTGTTGTTCGCTATTTTAATTCGTTCCGAGTTCGTGCGATACATAACGATTTCATATCATGTTTTCAAACGACTATGATAGTCAATACAGTTAGGTGTACGATTTACAATATTTTTTTGATGATTTACCGACGAAAACAAAACAAAAATTAAACGTAATTGTTACCTATCATTGTTACTATTATTATTATTATTATTATTTTTTTTTTTAAATAAAACACCGCTATTGTCCGTCGACAGTACTAGTGGGAGAAAAAAAAACCGACGTTTTAAATTATCGTTTTCTAGATACAGATTACACTATTAAAATCGTAAAATGTTAATTTACCATCATCAAAGGGAACGGCTATACCGCGGGCACACCGTCGCACGGCGAACACAAAAACGCATTACGCGATGCGCAGCGTTATTTATTCCCTCTGATGTCTACCGCGCGTAAATTCATCGTCCGCGCTACGCGATAATACTAACAGCATACTAACGGAACTGTTTATTTTATCGTATCACGGCGGTCACTACCGATTTGCGTATTTTTCTTACGCGCGTAACGAGGCGGCCAAATAATCAGCCCGGCGATAATCGACCGAAAACGACGTGAACCGAACGTGAAAACGCGACATCGATTATTGTACGCTACCGTCGGTCGCTCGGAGCCCGGACTTTTTTTCTTTTTTTTTTTTTTACCGCCCCGACGTCGTTTTAAACCGAAACGGGCGCAGACAGCCGCGCGGGTAACAGACCGTTTGCACCCGTGACGTATTACAATTGATGAACGCGTGTACCGGCGTGCATCATGATAACGTGCCGGGCACGTTTCTATATGACGCGGCCGTCGGCGAACAGCGCGCGCGTGTAAAACCGCGGCGAGCGGATCCCGTACGCGACGTCGCAGCGTCTTTAAATGCGACGAAATCGGTCATGAATCGCGCGCATTGCTGTGCGGCGGCCGCGCGTCGACGACCGCGGGCCGTTGTAGCGGACCCGGTTCCACGTTATCTGCGTGTCGGGCGACAGACGTCGGTCGGACGTTGGCGGCAGTGCGCACGCGTCGCGGTCGCGCGTCGACGACCGAACCCGATTTCTGCGGGATGTCCCGTAGCTTATCGTTTTGCGCGCACCGGATGTGTTCGGGCGCCTTTCGAAACACCGATATTCCGTGCGCGCATGCGCGTACCAATTGCACGGTCCGACCAGCAACCGATGCGGAACGTTAAGTCTGACGTTCCGTTCGGCGCGGCGGGTTTTCCGCCACCGCCACCCCGCCGAAAGGGACGGTGCGGCCGACACGTTTTCGGCGTGGACAGCGTAATTCCGTTGTATGTTATGACGCACAACATTCCACCATGCGCCGCAGTACGCCCCGCGGACGATGATTGTTACACGTCAATAATGTAACGACGTTACGGAAACCGCGCGGCGAAATCGATTGCGCGCGGAAGTCAATCGCGACGGTATTGCGCTGTACGACAACGGTCCGGGGCCCCGGGGTCATTGTGCGGATTCGTCGTAAAATCGACGTCACAGCGGTGGTTAGTTGAAAAAATATCTCGTGTAAACATGGTAATTACGGCCGTGCATGATTACAATGCGACACTGTCGGGACGTCGCGAAGCGCGCTTGGGAAAACGCCGCGAGCATTTTCATACTCCCGATAATCAACAGTAATAGGCCCGTAAACAAAACGTCGAACGCGCGTGTTCTGTCGTAACGTCAGAGCGAATCGACACTGTTGTTACGTCGTCAGACTTCGAGCGGAGAACATTCTGTTTTCGCCGTTTGTCCGTATTTTGCGATTTCGAAGCGAGTCGAACGCGAGCGTGCGTCGCGTACGCAACACGTCTCGTTCGTTTAAACGATGTGCGGGGCGACAGCGTCCCGGTCGCCGTTCCTGCGGTTGAACGCGAATTCGTCGCGTCGTATGGGGCGCGTTTCCGACGCGGATACGGCGAACGCTACGTTCTGGGGCTACGGTGTTGAATCCAGACGATTTTCCGTGCGCGGGCGCGCGCGCGCGTGAGTGTGAGGGAGGTGGGGGNGGGGGGGGGGGGGGGGGGGGGGGGTGGGTATTATTCAAATCGCAGTAATGACCGTTTTTTTCCTTCCACGAGCACACGACCCGATATGTTATTATGTGTACACGATATATACGGGAACGCATCCGTGTACAATTGATTTGCATAGCAATATAATCACTGCGGTCACCAGTGGCGCTGAAACCCAAATTGACGTCAGGCCACGAGACCTTTTAAAACATCCGGCACGGTACGGGTCGCTTCATTCCGATCTATAGTTTGATTGCAAAACCACTATACCCGTTACGGAAATAAAATAAAAACACGCTTCGACCATAAAATAGGCCGTGTGTGTTACGGGTATTATTTTGGGGCCCTCTTTAAATTTATCGCGCCCGGCTACGCGTTTGGGACGTCGACGCCACCGGTCGTCACCGCCTATGTTTTACCGGTCCCGTTAAATTCGACCGTCGCAATGAATGTATTCATTTTACGTAAACGACCAGCGCGTATGAGCCGGACACAATTAATCAACGGGTTAAACTGCGTGAAACAATCGTAATATTATTATTATTGTGCGTATTTGACGCTGCGTGTATTATACGCGGGGATGACGATTCGATCGAATTCAAGGCTCGCAAGCGTTATGACAATAACGATCGCGGGGCCTCGTCGGGTTAGCGTTTTCTAGACGCGGTGACGTTTTTGAAAGGAGTCCCGACGATTATCGAGGTGCGGCTATTTGAAATGTTTATTTTGTTCGATTCCGTTAACGTTTAACCGCGCGCACCGCGATATTCGTGTGTTTCAAGCGATTTTCGCACCGGATTTTTTCGAAGCGCGCCGCGAAAATTTCATTTGGTGCCGGCAATTTTTCCGGTACCCAGCTGGCGGGGAGAGGGAACGTGGGTGGGGGTGTGGGGGTTTGAAAATGTTTACGCGAAACAACGGACCCCGGGGCGATCGCACGTCGTACCGAAAACAACGTCGGGTTATCGCGAATAATTACAGTGACCGCGATAACACAATGTTTTTTTAGGTACGGAACGAGAACACAATAGGCGTCCCGTAACGACATTACTCTGCGCGGCGGCCGGTGTTAATAATAATAAGAGCGGAGTGTCGGTCGGCGGCCGCGTCGGAGCGCTCGCGACGGCGGCGGCGATTGGTTACGCGGCGACGGTGGCCGGCGGTGCGGTGCGGTCGCGGCGGCGGTTTCGGTGGGGGTACGGGCGGCTGCGGGGCCCGCCGCGCCGTCCGGCCGTCCCGCGCGACCCCGCCCGCCGTCCGGCACCGCGGCCGCTACGACGCCGCCGTAGTCGATGCGCGTGTGCGCGCGCGCGCGCGCCTCCGCGTAGGTAGTGCGCTGCGGGCCGTGTGTGCGCGCGTCGGGAGAGAGGTAACGCGACGGCGGCGACTGCGACGCGGACGACGACGACGACGAGACGACCGTCGACTGGGCCCCGCCAATACCCTCCGCGCGCCGCCCGGGTCATAAACGATCTCACAAACAAGTGCTCAACGCTCTGGAAATTACCCGCCGCTATACGATAATATTATAGCGGCCGCCGCCAGTGATCGTCGCCGCCGCCGCGCGGTCATTTGCTACTCGCGTCGTACGCTGCAACACGCGCTGCCGCCCGTGTATCGTTTCGCGATTAAAAAAATATCCGTTTATCCGTTCTTCCGTTAATTTTTTTTTTTTTTTTTTCTAACTAATTAATTAATTCCGTTACTTATTGGTTTTTATTATTATTGTAATTATTATTTATTTTTTTATTTTTCCGCAACATTCACAACGCTGATTTTCCGTCGGCCGGCGCCGCGAGTGTCACGTCGCGCGTTTTCCGTCCGTCCGGGTCAGTATACCCGGCGTCCCTCCGCGAACGTTTCGTGCCAGTACCCATACGACATTGTAATATTCCGGTAAAGGGTCGCTATTTTGTTATTTCGTTTTCGGGTTGTCCGCGAGAAAAATCCGGTCGTTCGTACCGCGCCCCGCGCCGACCAGAATGTGGTGGCGTTGAACGGCCCCCGTCCCCGCCTCCGTTGACAATCGGCCGACCGCGGCTTTTGACATTTTTTCGACGCTCCGCGCGCGCGTGTGCGAGTGCGAAGGCACGCGCGTTTCCACACGGTTTTTGACAATCGTTCGGCCGTCCGAGACGCCGTTATGAGTTCCAAGTTCATCATCGACAGCATGCTGCCCAAGTACCACAACCACCAGTACCACCACCAGCTCTTGAACCCGGTGATCACGTCCAGCGGCGGCGGCGGCGGCCTCGACTCGTCGGCCGTCAACTACAGCCTGACGCCCAACAACTCGTCGTCGAGCAGCGCCGGCGGTTCGCCGCCGTCCACGTCGTCCCTGGTCTCGCCGGCCGCCGGCCGCATGTACCCGTCGTACGCGGCCGTGCACCATCACCAGCAACAGTTCGGCGCGGCCGGCGCCGGCCCGATGGCGTTCTCGTCGCCCGGCCCGGCCGCCCTGGCCGCGGCCGTCCAGGACGTGGCCGACAAGTCGTCGCCGTCCTGCCGGTACGGCACCGGCGTCGGCGTCGGCGGCGTCAGCGTCGGCGGCGTGTCCGCGGCCGACACCATGGTCAGCAGCTACCTGCACCACCACCACAACCAGAACGGGTCCGCGGCCGGCACCATGGCCGCGGCCGCACAGTTCTATCAGGCCGCCGTCGGGGTCGGGGACCCGCTAAACACCGCGTGCGCCGGACAACCGGGGGCGCCCGGACCGCAGCCCATGCCGGACATACCGCGGTATCCGTGGATGACCATCACAGGTGAGTCGCGAACCGCGTCATGTTATTAGCGTTGTAATAATCCCGCACAGGGCTCTCTCATCGACTAGGCGCGGTCGCCTTTGAAAGGGGCGGGTGGTTCGGTCGTTTTCATTTTTCGCGTCACCCGCGGGCTCTGAAAGAAAAACCCGGTCGTTATTATTTCCGGTGACCGTCAATCGGAAGTGTCACTGTCTGCGCGCCTGCACGCGTGCATATGCGCATCACGTAATATTTTACTTCGAACGACCGTTATGACGGCAACTCGCGCCGTCGCCACTGATCGCGCCGTTTTTATTCAACACGGCTATACCGCCACTGCGCATCGGTTGACCGATGTAAATACGCGGGAGGGGCGGACTTTCTCGCGGTTATCGTACCCGCGCCCGAACAGGAAGAACCGTTCCGGCCGAAAGGACGCGGTCATATTGTGCTAAGCGTATTATATTATCGTTTACCGATCGTCGGTTCCCGAACGCTAATTAAAATCGTTAACGATCCGTTTGTTTTTGTTTTTTTACGAAACTCGAATATCCGCGGGTTTTCTCGTGGCGTTTTTTATTTTATTTTTTTTTATCACCGTTCCGTGCGCGTGCAGATACGGTGCGTCCGCATTCTCGGAAAAATACCCGCGCGTAGATTTCGAATTTTCGGCGGAAGGGGGGTTGACGTAGTCGGTAAAATACTCGCGAAAAACACCTACAGATTATTGCACTTCTATACGAGAACAAATGATTATCGGCGACATCTCAGTTTTCCGTAACGCGCGTCACGAATCTACCGGCTTTCGACATTTTATTTTCATCGTTTAATCGCGGTCGGCAACTGTCGACTAGACAGCCTAAAGTTACGCTATTCCATTGCATTGAATTCAATCTCCGCAGCGTGCCCGAAACACGGCCGTTAGTAAAAAAAAAAAAAAAAAAACCCGACGGTATTTCGTAAATCTCGGCCGTCCCCCGGGACACCAATACGACCGGCCGCCGCAGGAGCGATTTTTTCTCGTATGCCCGAACACGTACATAGAACGTACAGGGCGCGTAGTGTCGAACGATGTTTTTTTTTTTCCCCTGTTTTAGCGCACCGTCCAGTACTCTCGTTTGCGTTTGTTGTTTTTTTTTTTTTTTTCGAATATACTGTATCGAAGAGTTGGTACGTCCCGGTTCGCTGGTGGCCGCTGAACAATTTTTAAAAAAAAAAAAAAACCGCTTAAAAATCCATTGTTCGTTCGAACAATTATTATAACAACACGCAAACGCGAACGTACACGTTGCAATTAAATCGAAATAATGCGCGCGCGTTTAATGGAGATAACGATATTAATGTGCCCGCGATGCAGAAATGTTTTCGCGCGAATAACAACCGGTGGCAGATTCGGGAGGAGGGCACAAGGGCACGTTCCCCCTTCCCTCCCTGACGACGGACTTAAGTTTTTTTTTTTTTTTTTTATTTATACGGTTTGTAATAATTATTAATATATAGTAATTCATAAGCGATTTACGGAAAATTGAAATAACGCGCCTTTCCCCTCCCCCCCCCCCCAAACCCTTTAAACAATTTTCGGATCCGCCGCTGATTGTAATTATTGTTATTATTATTTATCGCCGTGTAGGTGGTTTTTTTTTCTTTATTTTTCGACTGCGGGAGCGACGAGGGCGCTATTAGAGACGACATTTACAAATTAACACGGGGCGATAAGCGCGGTTTTTTTTTCTCCCGTATATCCATCGCCGCCCGTTGTCATGAAAACTGTTCCCCTCCTCCCCCCCCCTCCACCGCGTGCACATTACGGCCGGTTAGGTGTGTAATATTATGCACGTATATTATACGACTGCGTGACGCGATATTTCCCCCCGACGGCGAAGGGGTGGTAAGGGAGAGAGGGGTGTCTCGGTCATACGCGTTTGGCCGCGAGCCGGTTGATTTATCGTTTTCGGACTTTACGCGCCGAATATCCGAAAACGATGCCTATAAAGCTAGAAAACAAAAAAAAAAAACCGCGCAATTTTATAGACAAAGGTATTCGCGTCCGTTATTACGGCGCCTTATAACATACCGCGGATACTCGCGCTATTATTATGCGTGTCTATTGCGCGCCCCCTCCCCCCCCGGAACTTATGCACACTATATAATAACATAATAATAATAATGATAATAATAATATACCTATTATATGTATCGTAAAATCGTAAAAAAAAAAAACAAAGACTGTAAAAAATTTAATTATCCTATAAATTACATTCAAATTAGTATAGTATTAGGTGTACTGCCGGCGCGCACAGCCGCACGCGCGTTTATACGCGCGTATATGTGTACCGTGCGTATGCAATAAAATATATGTGCACACGGACTTAATTACCCGTATATTATAATATAATACGGCGCGCGCGTGTGTGTGTGTGTGTGTGTGTGTGTGCGTGCGTGCGTGTGTGTGCGCGCGTGTGTACAACAACAACAACAATAACCATTACCCGTTTACACCGAGAATATCGTAAAAATGCAAACGGTTTAATGATATTGTATCGTTAATAACGATATTATGTTTCATTATAAATAATTAACGATTAATTATTAAAAAAAAAAAAAAATAAATAAACTACCTGTGCATTTTGTACGCGAATTACGCGCGGAAATCGGCGGATTATCAATCCGCGCTGCGCGCGCAACGAATACGATACACCTGTACACACATACGCGTGTGTGCGCGCGCGTGATAATTAACAACAGCGCGGCGATTGTTGTTGCGTCGTCATGACGCGCCGGAACCGCGCGATAACCGCGGTCCTCCCGCGTTTCTCGGGGTTCCTTCGGGTTTTTGCCGCTTCCGCGCCGGGGTTCCGTCGGTCTTCCATGTACGCGCACGCGTATTGCGCCGCGCCAGTACAATATTTTCGTGGTTTCCGGTGCTGTGCGCCGCGCGCGTGCGACGCGGGCAAAATGTAAAGGCCTTTGCCAAAGTCCGCCGTTATAGACGACGCGCGCACGAGTACCGGATCGTTGAACCGGACCGGCGATCGGTAAGTGGGGGGGGCGCGGGCGGAGAGAGGGAAAAATCGTCGGGAAAACGGGACAATTTACACGCGTTCTCCGCGTTCCCGCGGTCATTTTCGATTTCGCGGTTTTTCTGTTCGGGCACCAATGCCATTATTCGCTACGAACGCAGCGACGCGAAATGTTCACCGAACGGCTATGTAGACGTGTTCAAAACACAACATTATACTGGCGATTTTCCCGGCTATTTACTACGGCCGTTTGACCATTTTTTTTTTTTTTTTTTTTTTTTTTTCTAATTTACATTTATGACCCGGCACAAACGACCGAACGTTTAACCACGAGGTTCGTCATTAATTGTAATAGAAAAAAAAAAAAAAAAACAACTGAACGTAGCGCGGTATTTTTTTAATTTCATAAGCGCTCGAATTAGGACGAAAATCGCCATCTTTTTTTGAACGCGTTTACCCGGCCTACGTTCAGAATCGCGTTTCGTTGGTGGTTCTTCGTCGATTTTTTACGGATAAAAAACAGTGTGTTTTTAATGTTTCCTACGCACACATTCCCAACTCGCCGCCTACAACACGGCGATGCAGCAGGCACACCCGTCAGGGCGGCGTCGCATCTTTTTTTATTTTAAAATTGCGGTATCGCGCAGGTCGGCGTGTTGTCACCGGTTAAAATGTTAAATTCACAAACACCGGCAATTCCGTCATACGTTACAACCGCGTGTGTTCTAATCATATTATGCAGATCTCTTTTTCGATAAACGGATATTCTAATCGTACGATTTTCGAGAAAAATATCCTACTTTTATTGTTATTATTTTTTTTTTTTTTTTTTACTTTTGAATGCCGCTGAGAATTTTAACCGACGCTTCGTTATAATATGTTATTGTCCAATTTTATTCGTTTAAACACGCCCGCATCCCGTTTTACGTTCTTTTTTCCCGTTTCTATGCGTCTATATTATGATTATGACGAATCGACGCGTCCCGACTCTTGTTACGTTTTATTACGAAAAACACACCATCGTTTTTTTTATGTCATTACAGTTATGGACGCGATACGCAGTGTTCAATAGCCCGTGTCGTTTCCGTTTCAATACTCGCAACGCGGCATCACCCCGTGTAATACTGTAAAACTAAACGCGTTGTACAATACGAGTTCAAAACGATTTGAAGTCATCATTTAAAAGTCGTGCGCGACGGTTTTAACGTTTACCTCTGGCGCTTTATCGAATTAATCACGCGTGACTCAATCAATGGGTTAATTTTCAACGAGATTCCAAATCATACCGCGCCCGTCGAGTAAATTTAGATTTCATTTACAGCAATATGTTTTACCAAAATATTCACGATTTTTTTTATGGACTATAATATTGCACGTTGGGCGTATAGATTTTACGATTTGTAGTGTTCGCCGACAATTTGTGCGGAGTACTCAAAAACGAGTACACGGTAACAATTTCAGACGGTAAATCACTAACGGAAACCGGTGTGCGCATTAACGTTTGGTAATCGTGGAAATCTTTAGTAATCCCGTTGAAAATCTTTTGGGAAATCTCAGAAATCATTTGGGATGGGGGGGGGGAATCGTGGTATTCTGGAATCCGGTGTACACGATATTAATCGGCGATTTGCCCCGTGTAAAACATACGATATTTCCGGTACAATGTATTTTTCAACATCGATCGTTTTTGTTTTCAAAAAACGAAAAAAAAAACCGTAAACCCAAAAACGGGTTTAATCGATTTCGCGGCGACGGTATAGCGATTTCACGCGCGATAAATGAATGTTAATTTAATTTTCATTTTTCAAATCGGCTTTTGACACGACTTGGTTTTCAATCGGTTAAGCGACTCTCGATATAAACAGTGGACAGCGGTCATTCGACTCGTTTTCCCCTCTCCCGACTCGCTCGACTCGACCGAGTCGATATTACCGCGGTCAACTCATCCGAATCCGCCGATAATGTTTTCTACGCGTAATAGTTCCGAACAACGCGTTACCCCACGCGTGCACGTACGTCGTTGGAGCGTTGGAAACGTTCACAGAGCGCACGTTGTTATTAACGATTTCGTTTGAAATGGCCGCGGCGCATTTCGTTCAATCGCACCGGTGAATTCGCGACTTTGAATGTTCCGAACGCGCGTTACAAATAAAGACGAAACGTTGGAAACGTTTTCGGATTTATTCGGGACGAAATCCAACGTACAATAATTACGCGTACGGTAAACGCCAACGCGCCCCCTTTTTTTTGTTTTTTAGAAGACCCGGTACGATCGTGCACCGCCACAGTACACACGGCGGCGGCGTAGCGTTTTCGCGGGTCTCGCGCCGTGTCAGCGTTTCAATATTCGTACGTATTGACCTATTATCGGCAAACCGAGAGAGACGCGCGAACATTTTCCCCGGCGCGTTAATTCTTCCCCGATATTGCAATTTGCCAAACGAGATTTATATGTGTACCGTTTTCAAATAACTGTGCGCTGTTTCACGGGCATTATTACGTACTCTCGCGTGTCGATAAAATCGGATTATTCGATATGTGAACGCCGGATGTGCGACCGGCCGACAATTTTACCGCGGACCGGCCGACCGAAAACTGGCCGCCGAAAATTGTTCTGTACGCTACCTGGGGATCGGGACGTTTGACCTGACGCCCCGCAGGATGTATGACGCGTGTATACCGCCGCACTTTGAGAAAAACTAAAAAAATTGCCGAACCGGCTCCGGTGCGAATGCGACTAAAACTCGAATTTTAAAACGCGCCGTATTCAACGACACTGTTATTACTCGAATTTCGCAATTCCGCGCTAAACGGTTTCTCTGCGTGCGGTTAGGAATGATTAGTGGGCCGCCCGTGGACCGCGCACTGCAACCCCGGGCCTCCGCGCGAGTTTTCTCATCGACTCCATTGATACCGAGTAAAAACAACGTCGCCGTCGCCGTCGCCGCCGCGTCCACAACGCGTTCGCGTTCGGTGACGATCCGTGTGACGGTGACGTTTGTGCCATCGGCGCAACCGAAAACGCGATAATAAACGCGAGCGTACGGGAATTCCGCACTGTTCGCGGCCGCGGTTTTATTGGGGGCCGAGAACGTTTTCATTGATCGCCGGTGATTCCGGTTTTCAACCGGCATCGGCGTTTTCGAACTATCGCCACGACGCACGCGGCGCGGCTCGTCCGAATGTGTCCGCCGGCACTAACGGTGTGTAAAACGGTCGGCGCGGCCCGAACGCGGACTCCCGGGTCGGCGGATCCGACGGCAACGAAACCGTATACGTTTTTTTTTTTTATAAACGCGCGGACGTTATCCGGTTATACGGGGCCGGTAGCGCTTTGGTCCGCTGTAGCGTTTATCGCCGCGGCGCATAACGGACGGACATTTTTTTAGGGAGCGCGCGACCGTCTGCCGTTCGCGCGACGACGCTTTTACGTTTCGTTTGAAAATCTAACGAACGCGTACGCCGTGGTGATTGCGCACCGCGTTACGGCCAACGTCGACAATTATCGGATACGTAATGTCCACTAGGGGGAGGGTGATTGGGGCGTTCGCTCCGGGACGCCAAACCACGACGGGGCGCCCGGCTCCGTGTGCAAAACCCGAAATAAAATTTCAAATCTCGCCGTGTTATTATGTCACCTGTTATTTGTGCACGGGCGTAACCTATGTGGACCACCGACGTTTAACCAGCTCGCCGGTAGAAAAGTTGTTCGCTGAGTGGGAACGAGCGGAAAACTGAAAGTCACTGTAAAACCAATAGAGGCGTGCGCCGTTCCTCGCCGCGTCCGAAATCTAAAAAAGGGTAAACGCGTCCGCCTTTTTTTCACACGACCGCCGGGCTATTTTATTTTATTTTCCCCCGATTCCGCCCGGACACCGCGCGCGTTAATTAGTTTTTCGCGGGCGCCCGGCGATCATATTTTACACGGTCGTTTTACCGCGGCGCGCTAATTGACCGCGGCCGCCGCAGCGCAGCGTTATTGGCATTAACGGACGTCGTATCGTTGCGGTCCGCCGCGCGCACACGGTTCATACGTGCGGTCATAATCCGTACCGCCGTCGGTACAATAATAAACATTGTCATTGCAATTTTAACGGACGTATAACAGCGGCGGCGTAATATTAATACAAAATAATAACAATTGTTGTTGTTGTTGTTGTTGTTGTTTCGTCCGTCGTGCCCGCGGTCGGGAAAACCGAAGCCGTCGCAGCACGCAATGTACGCCGCCGACGGTATTTTACCCGCGGCGGCGGCGGCGGCCATTCGCGTTGAAACGACGAACAAAGCGCGCGCGACGCGGTAGGCGGACGGGCGCGGCCCGCGGAGACGACGGGACACCGGTCGCGGGGCGTATTTCGCGCGGCGGACGCCGAAAAAATAATAATAACAATAACCGCGTAGACAAAACAAAATAAAACGATTCTGAGCGCCAGATGGCGGATTCGGGGGAGGTGGGGGCAATGGGGTCATCCCCCCCTACCTCAAACACCGTATAGTGGAACCGTGTGTTTCGGTTCGAAAGGTCTTTCGATTCACTATGCTTTGTAGCAGAATATTTGCACTTTCGCCCATCCCTCCGAAATCGAGTTTTGGATCCGGCGGCAGTTGAGCGCAGGATTCGCTGTTCAGTTACTTTTCGGACACGATCGAACGTGTTTTTATTACGCGCAATAATTTTTAATTGCAAAAAGTAAATAAACAATATTAACAATAATTACGAATTCACGACGAATCCGAAACGCCTGTCGTGTAGTGTCGGCGCGAAGGGTGTTTGTTTTCCCCGAGGAAACTGTAAAATATTTAAAAAAAAAAAAAACATGCAAAAATCGTAGATACCGGTCGAAGTGTGGTAAGGCGGGGCATTTTTGGTAGGTGGGTGGAAAATTAAATCGAGGTAAAAAAAACTTCCCGCCGCCACTGCGCATGTATACGTAAAATTGTAAATTCACGACGGTTTAGCTCGGATTTTTTTATCGTTTTCAACCGTACTGAGTACGATTATTATTTACCGGGAATCTCGTACCTACCGAATTTCCGAGCATTTTCACGGCGCAAAACCGTTTTTATCCGCGTAAAACCAAAATGAAAAACTCGAAACCTTCAAAGAGCTATAAACAATTCGAAAAACCTTAGAATTCGTTGGGAGTTCGATATCGCGTTTAAAACGAACGCGTCAAATTGTACAACGTGAAAATAAAAACGAAAATAACTTTATCTGAACGTTATTGCGATGGTAATTAAGTATTCCCGGATTTTCGCCGTTGTTCGAATCGAAGAGGGGATTGGGCAAAGACCTACGGGTCTGGACTCCCTCTCTCTGCGATTAGTATAGCGAACGTCTAAAAAAAAAAAAAAACGGTTAAAAAAATACAACAGCCGACCCGGTTATCGCTGCAACGATTGATAACATTCGGTATACTACTATAGGTACACAACTCTTCACTGTGACCCCGACGAACCGTCGAATGTGGTGAACATTTTTTTTCACCTATTAGGCCACTGAAATTCGAGAAACCCGTCGACTTTAAAACAAAACCCGTAGTATTTTTTGATGACGTTTAGGAAGCCAATAGCCTCGATTGTTTTTCGTAGATAATAATTTGACCAAACGACGACGACGGAGTCTTTATCGCTAAGTGCGAGTCAACTCGGTAAAATGTGACGCATACCAATTCGTTTTCGTTGTTGTTATAGATACTTAGTTTTAGTCTCGTTTGAAAATTCAACGATTCTCGATTACCGTGTGTTATTATTATAAGCGCCAGTGTTGTATGGTTTACACAAGCGTACGCAGTTCCACCAAAATTATTCTATATCGATTGAGTATCTTACACAGCTCTGTATACAGTATTATCCGTTTTGGTTTCAAACGAATAATTAGTGTTGCCTATAGATTACATAAATTGGGTGCAATTAATTGTTGATTAATTACGCAGTAAGTCAATGGCCACGCGAAAAATCCAGAGGCCGCGGGGCGTCTCCGGAACCCGTTCTCCGCGCAAGGGCGTCCTAATCGGGAGGAAGCGATTGGGGGGGGGAGGCGAACGCATTGGAATTCGGCCTAATCGTTGGTCCATGAGTGTATTAGGTGTAATCAATACAATATTATTTGACGTGATTTTTTTTTCGCTAATTTATCGTTAATGTTAAATTTAATTATTTCGCCCCCCCCTCTCACCATAGCCCCGAGGTCTGGAGAGATCCCTGTCGTGGTCGCCCGTGATTTGACGGCCGACAGTCTGCGGATCGGCGGCTTGCGATCGGACTTAGGCTTTTCCGGATACAGAAAAAAAAAAATAAAAAAACACCGTACGTAGAAAGTTAACGTCAGACGATCGCGCGCGCGTCTCCGGTTGCAATTGCGCGCGTATACAACGCCGTGCGCGCGCAACAACACGACGACGGGATAGTTTACGATTAGAGAAATTGAAAATGCGTATACTAATAATAATAATAATAATAATAATATATACAACGCGCTCGGCCGTGATAAAATAATATAATAATACGACGACCTCGTTAGACGTTCGGTATAAAGAAAAATAAAAATAAAAAACGTACGAACAGTATATTATTATTATTAGTATTATTATTATTATTATTATTATTATTATTATTATTATTATTATTATTGTTATAGGTATGCGATTATATTCGAACGTCCGTTTATTGTCGCGCTGCGTGCCAGACGCGAGTCGAGACTTTCAATTAAAAATAAATAAAACGCGAACCGTCGAGCCAATAACCGTCGCGCAATAAGAGAGGCACAAAAAAAAAAACCCGCCGTCGCCACGGAGATTCATATCAGTTATTCGCGCGTTTGAGTCGCGAGTGGAAAGAGAGAAAAACAAAAAAAAATAAATAACCACCGGCAACCACAATAACCGTAGCAACGTGTATTCGTCCGCAAGAAGCCCGGCCCACGTTTATTGTCCTAACGAGAAATCCTATGGTTTTTCTTTTTTTTTATCGATAAAACGCGCAGACCAATAACAAATAATAATACTGATAATGATGTATTATGTCTTTCGGAGCGTATCGCGCGTAACCGTTGTAGACGCGTAATAGATTATAATAGTCATTTGTTTTTTTTTTTTTTTTGTTTTTTTTATTTCGGGTTGTTATCGGCCTCTATACGACCGTCCCATCATAAATCCAGTCTGTCCCGTCCGTCCCGATCGGTTGCTCGCGCCTTCCATATCCGTTTCTCCCCCTTGCTCTTCCGCGTCCATCTTTGCTGCATCTCCCCGCCTCATTCCCGGTCGTCCGACGGGTCTGTTTCCTGTCGGGTTCTTTTCCAACGCTCTGTACCGGAATGACGGGTTTCGGTTTCTCCGAGTGTACCCCGCCCACTGTAGTCTCTTATTTCTCATTATAATAATCATGTAATTGTATTACTTACTTACTATGTTGTTTTTATTTGTTTCAGATTGGATGAGTCCGTTCGACCGAGTCGTTTGCGGTAAGAATACATTTATATTTTTCTCTCTCTAATTATCATTGTAATATATGTTTTTGTCTACACATTAAGTATTTACGCGTTTTACGCCCGTCGGTTAAGGTCTCGTGTCCCCCGAAAATATAGTCTCCTTCTTGTTTTCCGTCTTTAGTTCCGTAATAGAATTAAAGTACTCCGGGTTAGTCCGCTCGCGTTCAAATTCGATTCGCGCGAATCGCGTAAAACCATAATTTGAGCCAGGACCGCGCATACGCGGTTCGTACGATTTCACAGGAACTACGCGGAAACAAAACCGCGGTCGGTGCGGGTTTAGACAGATCGGTAAATTTGAACGCGTAAACAACGGTTGGAGGCTTGTGCGAGTGTGTGGGTCTGAAGATATGCAGTTGGTATAGGCGTGTGGCTAAAACGTTTGTATCCGACATTATAGCACGTGAATACGAACGATACGATTGCACGACCGTACTTGCATACTGCAGCGTTAACAATAAATATTCAATTTCGATTAATAATATTACGTCAAACGTTATTAACTCGCACTCGATATTTGATATTTTCACTTGATATTTTCTGAAAACCATTCGAAAATGCCCTATACAAGAGAATTTACGAGAGAGTTTGTTTGGACGTGTGTGTGTGTGTGTACGGGTCTTTTGAAAAGCGTGATATTGTATAACGTGCAACGATTGAAAAACCGAAAAAAAGTCGACAAGAACGCAATTGATAATGTTCCATAAACACCTGCTCGAATATCACAGCGATTGGCACGAGCCATTTATTTGCGCAGTTTCTGTTTTTCGCGACCCGCGGTTCGGAAACCGCCTCGGGAGCCTCCTGGCCCGTAACCCAACCTAACCTTTGACACGCGTAACGCGCTCGCCACGCACACTGTAAACGCAGTACGGTATATTATCGGGCGCCTGGAACACTAGTCGGGAGGGGAGGGCTGTTGGGGTTTGCGAGTCGGGGCGCCCGTGCTTTTCGCGGAAAACCAAAAGGCCCCGGAAAAACGCTCGTTCTCGTCGTAGCGGCCGTTGCGCGCGTAACACGTGCGGCCGATGCGCGCGCGCACACACACCTCGCGGGCCGTACGACAATGTAATGACAACAACGCGATGTGATAACGTTGAATAAAAATATTTTTACGACGGACGCTCGTCCGTTTGAGGCGGCGGGTGGGAAAGAGGGGGGGGGCCCGTCGGTCGGTTAACAGGTTTTTATTGGACGACAATAAAACGTTAAATCACGAATAATGTTCCGTATTGTATTACAATATACTGTCGCCCGCGTGCATACCGCCGCAGCAACAGTCCGCCTGGCCGTTCGCTCGTACGCCACTGTTCGTAACACAACAAACATCACGAATAAATATGTAATATAACTATATAATAGTATGACCGTCGTGATTTATCCGTCTCGGGCTACCGTCCGGCCGTAAAATGTATTATTTGTAGATGTTTTTTTTTTTTCCGTAGGGGCCCCGCATAATATAATATATCACAACCCTTTTCGGGGGCCGCGTGAGATAATTTCACCCCCTTTCGTGATAATCATAATACAATATCGTAATGCCGGGCGGTATTATGACGACAATAGGTCGCGTAGCACGATGTACGCACACCGCCCCGCCGGGTAACCATCGTCGTCGCTCGCCCCCTCCCCGTTTGCGCGCGCGAGGCGAGGCGTACGCCGACTCGCGGAGGGGAATAAATAAAACGGATAAAAAAACGGTCCGTGGGCGCCGCGCACCTTAAAAATGCGATACGGTCCCGCGCAGCAGCCGCCGTCTCTCTCCCGGGGGATATACGAGAAGATATTATTACACGGCCGAGAGAAAAGAATAAAAAAAACGACGTCGTCGTACGTGACGGTTTTTTTTTTTTTTTTAATCCCATCCTCCCGTGCCCGCGACGTTTTATGCAAATGACGCCGGGTCCATTACGCGCCGCCGAGACGGTCGTCGTATACGCCGCGACAACACTCGACGTATTACGCTCGCACGCACGCGCAACGCCATTATAATATTTTGTACCCCGTCCGTCGGTTCCCTCCGTACCGGTCGCGAGGGGGGGGGGGGGCGGGAGGTTCGCCGAGTCGGATTTATTATATTCACCGGGTCCCATTACCATAATGTATCGCGCGCGTATACATAAGTAGGTATACGACAATGACGACGACGACGACGACGACGACGGTATTAATAACAATAACGTGTGTTGTTTAATCCGTTCGCGTGCATTGTGCGCGGTGCGCGCACGCGCGGCATCGGCGGCCGTCTCGCGTTTGTTTCCGCGCCGACCGCGGCGTCCGTTCGGCCTTCGCGCGTAGGGATATTTTTACGAAAATAAAACGCGGCCGAGCCCGTCGGCGCGCGTGGGACGTCGCCCGTCGGCCGCGTTCTCCGGCTCGTTTTCGACGGCGTTCCGCCGCGCGACACCCGCCGAGACCGTCCGCGGTAACGCGCGGCGCGGCGTCGTTATTGTGATCATTACACGGTAAAACTTCCGTTGTGACGGTCGTCCCCGCGCAACGGTCAACTATTTTCCCCGTCCCGTCAAGCGTTACGCCCCTATGCGGGACACCTCCCAAGGACGGTCACCTCTGAATAACGGTCGTTATTGCCGGTCCCCCGGCCGATGACCGTCGTGTGCGGGAAATTTTACCGCAGTACCGCTGTCGTTGTAATCGCGGAAACGGGTTCGTGCGCTGGATAGGGTTTTAAACGGCGAAAAACGGTGGAAGGGGTTCGGAAGTCCGCCGCCCCGTCACCCTACCCCTCCTGTAACGGCTCTGGCTTGGGGTTTGTTTTTGTTTTCGAGAAAAAATTTCCCGTTTTCGCGTAATGATAATAATTTATTCGAATTAATTAAACGGACGGAACGCCGGTGGTACGGACGACCGAAATCACAAGCGGTATTTTTGAAATAAGTACACAAAAGTTTACGGGTTAAACGGCGAAAACGAGAACGAGATAGTTTTGTACACTATATTGCTAGGTATCGCCTTTGTTAGACGCGTGTTTAAAATCGTCCTTATATGACGGGAAAGTACTTTTTAAAAACGAGCTAGTTCAAATTCTAGTTTTCGAAATTAACTAGTTCAGGTTCGTCGATAAATTATTTGGCATTTTTTCCGTTCGGATGTAAGCGGTTTTAAATTTATCGTGATAATTCGTTCATTTACGACGTCTTTGGATAATGCTGATATCGCGTTATAAGACGGTATCTTTTTGTTATCAATTTTTAAAACAGTTAACCGTCAGCCAACCATAGAGCAAGGTCTTGATTAAAGACTGTGCCACATTTAGTAATTTATTTTAATATGTTGTTAACTCGACTCGCGGTTAAAAATACTATATAAATGGAACGAACGAACGATTACGCGACCATTGGTAAAATAATTTTATTTGTACGCGAAGTTTTTTCTCCGGCAATAAAATGTCTGCGGGACATTATTACATAAATTAAACGCGTTATACACGTAACTATGGTCTGGAGTTAATTTTGTAAAACGAATGTACCGAAAAACGTTCAAGTTCATAACAAATAAGAACTATTAGTCCACGTTCAAGTTTATTTCTTGAAAACTGAACTCGTTCATCGCGCAATACGAACGCGTTATTTCCCGTCACTGGATATCGGAGTATTTAGAATTGAAAAATGCAGCGCGGTCAATTTTGCCGGGCTCCGATTTGCTGATTCGACCGCCCCGCCCCCCCCCCTGTTTTATTTTTTTTTTTACTCGGCTCTTTTGACTTCTAGATAAATCTTTGCGATTCGGCTTCGGCCCGTTACCTTCGATTCGATTAAAAACCAATCGCATGGACGTGACGAAATTCCAAATGTTTTTAGGCCTTTGCCGTTATTTCTGTTTGCCGAGCAGAAACGTTTGACGATACGTACGCTACGTTCACGATAAGTCGCACGCTCGACGGTAAAAAAAACGCCGGCCGTATAATACAGCGATTTACGCTTTTTTCTTTTTTTTTTAAGCGGAAAACCGTACGGATACGGGGGGGCGTTTCCCGCGTGTTCGCGAACTCCGTACGTCGCGTTTCGCCCACAACGGTTTAGAATTTAAAAAAATCTCCGTGTACCGCCCCGCTCCCGACATCGCGCCCACGCCGGCGACACACCCGTCCAGCGGCGCCCGCCCATTAGCTTTCGTTTTGTTTTTTCAACGGTGTGTACACCCGCCGTCGTTTTCGCGGCGCTGCGGTATAGCGTTTGGAAAACAACCGTCGGCTATTGTAATGATCGTGCGCGGTCCGTAGTTTAAGAGAACGATAATTACGACGATAACAATAATCATTGTCATTGTCGTCGGTAATATTTATATATGTATATGTGTAAACATATTAATTTTTTTTTTTTTTTTTCATTCGCGCGCGCCAATAATACTCGCGCACGTCCCAAGGTCTTCGCGGTATAATAACAACAATTATAATAATAATAATAGTAATAATAACGATTTTATACGCTTCGACGACATTGTCCGCGGACAAACTCGACGCACGACAACAATGTTGACGATCTATTGCGTTTAAATCGAACGGCCGTTTTTCAACGGTATTCTCGAAACGTCGCAGAGCTGACGGCGGTTTTTTTTTTTTTTTTGAAAAATATTTTATACGGCCAAAACGCCACGGTAAATGAACGTACGATATTTGTACATAATATATGTTGCAGGCAGAACCCCGTATTTGTTATCCGACGATCCGTAATAGACCCCCGAGCCAAAGTACTGAGCTTCTTTTCTTTTTTTTTTTTTTTTTTCTGTTTTGTAACCGTCTTGAGAAAATCGCGATAAGATCGAACGTTTGGATATATATTACTAAGAAGCGACGATCATTTCGGGAAAACGGTTTTTTGCTTTTCTGTCTTAATAAAAAAAAAAATAGGCCTGATAAAAACCGAGTGCACCAACGGAGATATTATACAGAACATCATTAAACAATACAAATTATCAACCGTCCGGCGCTTATCAGCCGTCTACGGACGGGTATACAGTCAAACTGACCCTCTTAATAACACGATATAATAAGTATGCCTATACGCCGACCTATTTTGTAATTTTATGCACCACGGTAACGAAACGTTTTTGATTTTTGTCTATTCCATGAGTTCTAAGTACAATATTCTCGTAGGTTTTTTTCAGTTTTTGTCATTTCACGGCGTGTGACGGGACTGTTTGACATTTTTACACCTGCAGTCCGTACAAATGTCAAATAGTCCAGTTACACTCTGTGTATAGGTAATATGCAACCCACGCGTAAATATGCCCCCGCGATTCCGGGTATTTTTTCGTTCATAATTATTACATAATAAACGGGGGTCTAAAACAGTGATCGGTTTTTTAAATTCATTTCGATTTTACCGTTCGTTTAGTATATTATACCGTGCATAAGGTTTTTACCGTTCGTAGATTAGTGCGACGTCGGGTCACAAACTGTACCGTAATATAACGATTATAACTATTTATCCGGCAGAGAACCGTAATGACTCTATGTAATGGTGTAATATAATCGATTTTCGTTAACGTTTCGATTAAATATTGTTTTTGACTTTTAACAGAATCGAACGCTATGGCTGGTGTGTCCGCTAAAAAGAGTAATAAAAATATAGACGTTATCAAATTAAAAAAAAAAAAAAAAAAACGGGCACGCGAGACTCCAACGTGTACGATGTATTTCCCCCGCTCCGATCGGCATTTAAAAAAAAAAAAATAAATAAATAAAATGTTCGAGACGAAATATCGTTGTTTCCGGCATGGCTGCCGTTCGTTTTTTATTTGTCGTATTAAAAAGCAGTCGAGCGGCTCGAATAAAAGGCGTCGTGCACATAATATTATTGTATTATAATAACAGTATATTAGCTAGCTCTACAATTTTAATAATACTTTTGATATCAATACCGTGTTGTTAATGGCCGCGTATAAAACTATTGAAACGGTGTATGTCGACGGCGGGGGTGGGGAAATTCGAATTACGTACTTGTATGGTACTATACCGGGTGTACCCAGTTTTGACGGTCGTTCATTATACCGCGAGTGCCCCCAGGACGCGTTTACGCGTTATTCAAATTTGTTTTCACAATAATAGTATTATTATTATTATTATATCTGATAGCCGCCCAGAGTCCAGTGTACAAATCGAAACCCGTCGTTCTATGACAGTGGTGTAAACCGTATATTGTTGCGGTTTATCGGATAAAAACTGCCAGAAACCGGCAAAACAAATTATAATAATAAGCAGTGGCGCGCATTTTCAATGGTCCACACTCAAAGTCTCTCGATAAAATATAATTTTCCCGTGTCCCCAAATAAGAAACAATCGACTGTTTTCATCAATATTATTGAACGTTAAAATGTCCGAGCGTTTATTGTAATCCGCCCATCTGCGAATAGTTTCGGAGGATATACCTCAATAAAAAGACCCCCGAGATCAACGCCATTGGTAATAATAAGTTAAACGTTATATCCGCGCGCTCTCGCGAGGCGGGGAGAAAACACTGTTTACGGATAGCAGGCATTAGAATAATTTGTCGTAATAATATATTATAATGATGTTATAATAATGACGATTTGTTTCCAATTAGACGAGAAGTGTTTGTTTTTGTTTTTTTTTTTTTTTGGTAAAGCATCTCATGAATACATAATTATATTACGTTTTAAACTGTTCAAGACGATACCCGTTGAAAAATCGCTCGAATCGTAAACAAAATGTTTAAAATGAATATAGTAAAACCGTGTTGCAGTTGTTTTTCTCGGCCATAATCACGGCTGCGCGATATAAAAACGCCTAACACGATTCGGGATTTTCATTGCTCGCGTTTTCCCACCGACTATACTGACACACGAAAAAAAACATTTTTCACACGACCCAATGGAGATATGTATATGTATATATTCTTATAACCCGTTTCGTTGAGAAGACCGCACGCACGACGATCCGGTTTCGTTTTAAAGGATGGCGACACGTGTATTAATATGGAAACGTACTTGCAGTGGGTATTATATAAGAACGTGTGTTCGAAAGAAAAAAAATGGGGAAAAAACGAGTATCCAGAATGACAACAATAATAACGATATTAGAAATGGTCGTCGGGCTTAAGATGCGAGGATGAGTCGCTACGAGAGTGAAAAAAAACCAACCAGGAAAAAAAAACGAAAATACACGACAATGTTTCATTGTCGGGTGATGTCGTGGCGTGTTTATTGTGATAATAATATATTATGCGGACTGACGGGTCGTATATAATATTATTAAAAAAAATAATATATATATATATATGTGTATAAAAAAATAGTCACCTTAACACACTCGGTTATTATCGTGACGACTACAGAGTCCGGATTCATAGGCATTCGCGTGTTTGTGCATTATTTATTAGTTTAAAACGTACCTGTACCTGTATATATGTTATTGCGTGAAGCTATGCGGGCGAAACGAAAAATTCGAACTCGAGCCTACGTACGAGGCGACGAGCGAAATTTGATTTCACACGTTTTACGGGTTTCCGCGGGTCAGTTCGAACATTTTTAATTTTAATTTTGTTCCGCGTTCGAAAAACGACGTTTATTCAACACGTGAAACGCCGATACGCCGATTTCATTATCGGTACCGCCCTGCGTGCGGATATTATAATTTCGAATTCGTTGTTTTTCCCCGCGTTCGAATATTGTAAACCATTAAAACCCGTTGACCTCCCCGGCCACTAATACTTTCGATACGCTCGGTCGTTAATTTATTGTCTAACCGCATTATGATGATAATAATAATAATAACCGACCGTCCGGAGAGCTCGTAGTAGTTGGGTGCGATGACAGTTTTACAGCGCACGCGTCCCGCTCAAAAATATTCCTCCGTTTCGCGCAATACTACGGTCGCAGTTCTCCTACGCTGGTTTTTTTTTTTTTTTTTATTGGCCAACACTGCCATAAGCATCGCCGACACAATAGCGGAGGAGCATTGCGCAGGCGCGGACGTGGACGAGACGCGCAACGCGCGAACAAAACGAAAACGTGACACACGCCGCGATCGCATTACAGGTGTCCGCCTGGCCGACAGTACGTCCGTTTTGCCGCGGGGACACGGCGCGCCACCGCGAACGACTAGGAAACCGACGCCCGGTTGAACCGAATTGCCGACGCGGCGGCCCATAGCGCCACGGCAATAATATCACTGCCGGTCGGTTTTGACAATTTGAACGACCCGGAGCGGGCTATCGTTTGCGCGCGACTCCCGTGCGAAACCGACCGGGTCACGGGTGTCGGTTCGGACGTAACGGCGGTACGGTCGTGTATGTATACGCTTCCGCGGTGCACCGACGGACTCGTAACGGCCCAAAACGAACGCTCCGGCCACTGTCGGCGGTGCGCGCAGCCTTTTCTGGCGACGGCTGCGGAACAAGACGCCGTCCCGTCAATATAACGATTACGCAGCGACGGAAACCGACGGGACATCCGCCGTCGTCATCGTCGTCGCCGCCGCCGTGGGCCGTGTGCCCCGTACGAACCGTATACGGTTTTTCGAAATCGCGACATTATCTCTGACGAGACGTTCACATGCGCGTTATCGCCACGACAGTTCGAAAACGCGCCGCGTCGTCGCGCGTTGCGGTAGGTCGTCGACGGCCCCGGCACGCACGGCCGCGGACGGTAAACGACAATGAAAATAATACAAACACGAATGAAAAAAACGCACAGTGTTCGTCCGCGCGGCTCTGTCGGCCGTACGCCTGTGTACCCGTCAATACGGTATTATCTACGCGCGCCCGTTTCATGCGAACCGCGACGATATGCGTAATACGTTATTCCGTCGTCGTCGTCGACAACACGTACACCTCGACTGTACCCGCCGGGGCGTTCGACGTGTCGCGGGAAACGCATTTTACGCGCCGCATTTACAAATCCGCGCGTGAATGTTTTATACCGGATTCGTTTTCTTTTTCGCGCGCCGCGGTCGGTCTCTTTATACGCCACGCGTATACGTATGCGCCGTGCGCGCCCGTCGTGCGGTCGCCGCGACGGAAAAGGCCGCGTGTCGTCGATTCCGGTCGCGCATTATTCAAGGTCGCGTCCGCCGTGCGGCACGGCCCGCGGAAAAGGCCGCGCCCGGGGGCGGCGGCCCGTTCGGAAATCGAAAAAAAAGCGGACGCGACATTTTTATCCGGTTGCGTTGTAGAACCCATTCGTCGCCACTGCGTTTCGGTCCGTTGAACGCGCGCGCGAACAGTAACGCGCGTAATCCCCGCAAATCCGCAACAACAGCGACGTCGCAATCGCACTGATATTTCGCGACGACCGGACAGATCCCCGCAGAGCCGCGGACCGATGGGGGGGGAGCTGAGAGGGGTTTCCGTCTCGTAACGAAAACTGGCCCCGACAAGGTATCATAAACACCTCGTATACCTAAGCTTTAGCAGGTATATAAAATAATATTAAAAAAAAAAAAAAAAAAAAACAGACAGACGCGTATTTCGCACGACGGGCGGGCCGCTGTTGTTGATGAGAAGTTGCAGCGAAAGTAGGACACAGAGGGGAATTCAATTTATATCTGTACGCGACGATGAGCCGCGAAAAACGAAAAACGATTCGGCGCGAACTTTCTGTTATACGTGTGCGTAAATTCTCCCGTTTTCCCTACGTTTCTTCGCGGAATTTCCCCGTTTATTATGGAACCCCTGGGAAAATCAAAAAAATGGCCGCCCTAAAGTACCATCCAGATAAAATTTCCTTTCAGAAATGGTACTATACACTTGAAAACAAGATTTCCGGTAGAAAAGTTGTTCACAGATAATGCAAATGAAAAAAAAAAAAAAACATTGTAAAACTAATACGTTCCGAATCTAAAATGATTTCTTCGATGTATACATTTTAAAGCGAGGTATAAGTATTTTTAAATTATGATAACTCACAAACTCGTTATCGCTTAAAAATTAAAATACCGAGAAAAAAGCCGACGTAGTTGCGCATAAAATGTACTAATACAGATAAAAATTAAACGGCCATTAATATTATAACGGTCTCATCTTTGATTTTATAAACGCGCCCTTTATGACCCAAAATTGTTCAATGCAATTAGGTGCCTGCCTATAGGTACTTAAACATTTTCACATTCGCTTATTTTAATTGAATTCAAACCACCGTTTGTCGTAGTATGATCTACCGTGATTAAACTTGGTGTGATTTTTCAATTATATTTTTGTGAAACGGCTGAACACCAACAAACACAAAGCGGTGTCCCCGCTGAAAGACAATTTTTTTTTTTTTATGTCGTGCGTTTGTAAGGCGGAAGCAGAGCATGCGGATGTGGCGTCTTCTTAACACTTACAGTTATTATAGACGCCGGCTGTTATCGTTATTTCGTTAAAGATTCAGTGTTTTCGACTTGTGAACAACAAAAAGAAAAAGAAAATCGATTTTTATTCTACAATGATCATCCAGTATTGAACTTTATTGGTTGTTTTTTTTTTACATTTGTTTACAATTCATCCTTATAAATTGCTGTTGCTTTCTTATAGCAGCCATTTTTTTTTTTTTTTACGATAAATAATAATTTAACGTGGATTTTATTTATTACCGTTATACGGTATTATTGCGAACATAAAATGATATACACTTAAGTCGTCCATAATGAGGCGTTAGATCCATCTATAGATAAGAAGATTATTCTTTTTTTTTTATATATTTCTTAGTTACATTTCAAATGAAATATATAAGTTCGATCGATTATCTAGATGACTATAATATTTTATTGCATTATTTTAGTTTTAAACAGTCGTTTCGTTTTACCGACTTATATAAGTATATTATATGTACATTCTTTACAGGGTGATTATTTTATCATCAGTGATCCAATGATTTTCCGAATGTAATAATTTCATATTTATTTTTAATTACAATAAACCTTACCGAATCTTCCAATCGACATTTTACACATTTACATTTTACTCATAATTCAATTAGTATGTTTCATGCCATCATATGTTTAAAAAAATATTCTATTTTCGAATCTCGGTTGAAAAAAGCGGGATTTTCTATTCGAAAGTCGATACGTTTATTTACTGTGTACGGAACGAGGGTAATATTTTGAAACGATTGTAAATATTAAATCATACTATTACAAAACGGTTCTGACATGACCGAAAAAAATCAAAATGATCCTACTCAAAATTGAATAATAATTGGATCACGAGGAAAAAATCACCTTGTATTTAATATATATATGATTATATGTTATAAATTATAATTTTCATATGTATTACAACGTGATATTATCATCGTTATCGGTTAAAATATTATATTGTTATTCGTGATTATGCAAATGAATCCTATTTTTAAACCGTGTTTTAGTATAGATTGGAATTTGCATGTTATTTTTCATTGTAATCTAATTTCACGTTTCAGATTCCAAAGACTCCGAATAAACTATAATACCTGTATAATATGTATAATTAGCATAATATATCATTACAGAGTTCACCGAGTTTTAGAATTTCGTACAGAAATAAGAGATCCTCAAACGAAATCTATATTGAAAAAGTATTAACTCAGAGGGTAAAAATACGTGCAGTTTTCAAATTCGTTTCTGCACATTCATATGCGATAGTTCATTTATTATCTCGGGATTATCATTTCTTAGATCGAATACTGGTGAATATTTTTGTCAAGAGACATTTTCTATTTTAGTCACTGCGCATTTTTAGTTTGTTTTATGCATACCTTTTATATTTTATACTATTTTCGACACTACATTTTGGCCCGAGATAAATGGGTAAGAAATTGTTTTTATTTTTAGATTCTGAATGAAACGATGAATGTATTGGTTTCACAGTGATTTTTATTTGTTTATTTATTTTTTTTCTTTATGTGAACATTTTTCTATCAGAAAGCACATTCCGATTATCAAGTGTAGCACCTTTTCTGAAAGGAAATGTTCTCTGGGTGGTACCTTAAGGAAAGTCATTTTTTGAAATTCTCATTAATATTCGAGATAATCAGGAAAACCTCGGTCTTTCGGTTAAAAAAGATTGAAAGATGAAAAATAAGGTTGTCATTGGGAACCGTTTTTATTTATTTTTTTGTTATTATTATGTTAATCTTTTTTAAACAATCATTGTTATCATAGAAACGCACATTTTTGTAATCGTTTTACAAAAGTGTGACATATACCATGTATTGTATTGTTGACAAAGCAACTAAACTCCCGTTCAGAATCGTTTTTTCGTTAACAATGGTTTATCGTTGCTTACAGATATACATTAAATTCCCGTCTGTATCCTACCTTCTCAACTCCCCTCTACAATAGTGGTTGCACCCACATGCGAAGTATGTCCGTCCTTGTTTGTTTGTTTTTGTTTTGCAGTGTTATATATTTTAAATCGACGATTTTTAATATACATCCATTCATAGTATACATTTTTTTGTTTACACATATGGAAGTTTTTTATTTATTATTTTTTGTAAATCATTTTTACATAGTGTGGACTGTGTTTGTCTGCAAACTACAATAACATTACATATGCGGTTGGCGTCACGATAACGGTTGTAATATTCGATTTGACTTCAAATATTATTATGGTCGTTTATATTAGTTTTGTGCGTAGGACTTCATGAGAAGTTTTTCTATCCGCGTGCACAATAATAGCGTCACGTTAATACAAAATATTAAAATTACCAGGCTAAAATAAAAAATAAAGATATTTTATTCGAGCGAGGCCCCGTATTATACGCTTGTAAATAGTGTGTGTTATATAATAAATCTCGTCCGCCTTGACAAAAGAATACAATTGATAATAATTATCGACGAAAGTTGCGAAAAAACGATTATAGGTCAGCTATTCTCCGCGTAATATTGATAGATGATAATATTACATAGGATTTCTCTTTGTTTGATACGCGCAACGTTTGTTTTTTGTTAATAGTAATCGAAACACGTTTTTGTAGAAATACATACCTACAATAACAAAATTGCGTAGTTTCAATTTCGTTTTCTTTTTTACCGTAAAAATAAAAAACTGTGTACAACATTATTATAATTGTTTGTACTCGTTGGCGGCGGACATTTCAAAAACACGGTGTTATTGCATCCTAGAAAAATTAATAACTGATAGGTATAAGCGCATACACATTATTGTATTCAATCGAAATTATTGTTTAGATAAGTATTATAATTATGTCATAATGATGCGTATTAATTTATTTATTCGTTATCTATGAAATTGTAGGTATATAGGTAATCGATTTTTTTAATTTTTTTTTTTTTGACCCGGTTTCCTGCCACTCTCATATCGGTTGTTTATTAACTTATACACATATTAAACGTATCTATTAAAATAATATATTCGAAATAGACTGATAAAAATGTGTTTACAGAGTGGAAATTACGAGTTTTGTTATAATTATAAACATATTCATACATTGCAGGCGGCGTTTAGGACTAAACATTTGTAAAAAAAAATATACATATATATAAATAAGCGCCGAAACCGTCAGTTCATCTGAGACTATCTGAATCATATTATCAAATAAATATTATTATAAAAAGTCATATGCACGACTGGTTATAATGGCCATTGAAATGTTTAAAATTGCTATAGTGCAGTTAAATCTAAATGCTGCAAATCTGAGTGATGCCGAACGTTTTAAACATGTTAAAACTGTGCACTGATTTTTGCGTGTAGACTGTAGAAATATAAATTATGTTAAATCATTAAATACCATTTGACAATATAATTTATTGGACTTACGTCAATTACGTTCGTCTGACTAAAAAAAAGCTGACTATAACAACCAATATACTTAATGCGCGTTAAAAATTTTGGAAACTGGATCTATCATACTATTATGCCAACAAAACTACGTTACAGTCGTAATCATTGCAATAATTAAATGTTGAATATGTGAGACGTGGGTCTTCTTCTTTTCGTCTTCAATCGCTTGATTGGTTCGCTGCAGTTTTTCATGCTTCCCTTTTATAACTTAATTCCTTTAACTCCTTATAGCTAATCTATCATAATTTGTTTCATATGTTCCATCCTTAATCTTCCTCTTCCAATGTAGCCTTCCACGTCTCCTGTTCTATAACTCTTTTATTTAGCCTATCATGGCGTAGTAAATCCCCTATAATTTTGTCTTATTTAACTTTAATACTGCGCCACAATTCTCGTTTTTCCTTTATTCTTGTTAATGGCTACATTTATTATTCATTCAGCCCATTAGATTTTAAGCATTTAACGATATGTTGCGATAACACTACATTTCAAAAGTTTCTAGTTTAGTTTTCTCTATACTGTACTGAACGTCCAAGTTTCACTGTCATACGTGGCAATACTCCACACGTATATTTTTAGGAGCTTTTACCTTGTCTGTAAGGTCACACTATTTGTGGCGTGGAGACGTGCGTGCATCTGAAATTTTTTGATTATGAGGATGTATTTGTCCGTCTTACTAACGCGTGGCATTGAAAAATTGCATAACTCATAGAACATCATTTGTGGCGTTAGATTAAAATTGGAGTTCAACGATAAATAATAATAATTGAAGTTATTTAAAAAAAAAAAAAACGCAAAAAGTAACTTATAACTGTGTAACGCATATTATGTCTACGTACAGCCCTCGAAAATATTTTCGTCTTCTGTTCATTTTTTTTTTATTATTTGTTAATAAATTTCAATTTCACCCTAAACGCCACAATTTATACGGTCCAAGTGTATGAGAGAAAGGAGTTGATCTGCAATGACCTATTTATTTATAAAAGAGAGACTATTTTATGTTTCAAATTCTTATTAAGAAGTCCAGGTCCTATCATTTGTGTATCGTTAGCTCGTTGATATATATATATATATAATGAGTGCGACATAATAAAATATACCATTATAAATCCATATCAATTAACATTGATTTTTACGACCAATGAATATTGGTCAATGCTCGTCGTCAGTACCAATAAAAATCGATTCGTACAATTCTTATATTGAACCGTATATCTTATAAACGGTAGTGAATTGAGTATAATTGCATATATTAATTGTACGAGTATATTATAACTATATATGTATAGCGATTATCCATCGCCCATAATGGCCAATACAATTATACAGACACGCGATTCCAAGTCGATTGTGAAACGCGATTCGGATTTGTTAAAAAAATATCGTTGAGAAAAAATCCAGCAAAATTCGAATTTTTTTTTTTTTTTACCGGACAAATTATAACGTTATGACACAATATGATATATCATACAATATTTATAAGAAATAAAACTAAAACTGTTATTGTTACCGATTTATAAACTCGTGTATGCGTGTGTATGTTACAATTTTTTTTATTAGATTACAAATCGTTTTTCATCTGTATTGTTTATTATAATATATTTCGAGCGTTTTTTTTTTTACGGATCGTCGTTAATAAAAAAAAAGCAATAAAACGTCAAGAAGCGCATTGTAATATAATATATACATGTATAAATGGTTACAGTGGGTGTACATCACTTTGCATAGTTGTTTTTCGCGTAAACATTTTCATAATTATCGACGATTAAAACGCGCAAGACCGTTTCACCGTTTACACCCCGATCACGTATATATTATTACATACCTATCGGACTGTCGAATTCGCCATAACGTACATAACAATAATAATATAATTACGCGTCTATTGTTTTCTCGTCGCTTTTTGATCGCTAAAATGTATAGATTTTTGTTTTTTTTTTTTTTTTTTTTGAAAAACATTTTCCAACCCACTGTATACGTGACGACGGGTAACCGAATGAAATCCTTTTGTTTTTGCTCTACGCCGTATTACGATTTTTTGTGGTGCGCGATAATTTAACCCGGACCACGTTTCGTCATAAAAAAAAAAAAACACCTGCATCCCGGCCTCGGTCGTAAAACGGTAGGGCAAATTCGAAAAAGAAATACCTATAATAATAGCACACGAGGGAACAAAACACTACACACACAGTATACACGTCACACAACAATATCGGACCCGGACCGGTCCGACATTATTTTTGGGCGTGTTGTTTGCGAATCCGATCTCATTTTCTCTCTCTCGGTTTTTTTTTTTTTTCATACGAGAGCACGGCCATTCGGTTTTAACCGCGAAACGAACAATGGCGATAATCACGAGTGTATATGTAAGAAAACCGAGGTTAAAAACGCAAGGTAAAAAAAAAAAAAAAACGATACTACCACTTATATATATATATATACACATTCGAAATTTGACAAGTTTGCTCGGAATGAAAATAATAGGTAGGTATATAATATGTTAGCGTTCGATAAATTGCAGACGAACCGCAAAGCCCGCGATGGACCAGTTACAACGTTAGAGCCGTCGCCGCTGAAATGCGCGTTTTGATTTTCGTCCGGAAAACACTTTTTCGGTCGGTAGAAACGCTCTGGTTTTTTCGACGCGGTACATCGGAATACGCGGAATTTTCGACAGTTCGCCACCCCGCGGGTCTTTTCTTTCGATTTTTCGGTTACCCCGACAACGACGACGGGGAAAGAACGGGAAGAACGAAAAACACGACGAACGTAATTTACTCGTCCCCGTATCCCGTATCCCACTTTCCCGCCGTGCCTGTAACACTATTGTCGCTGCACACAAACCTTTCAACCGCGAAATATCGTTCGAATTGAATTACGACCGCCGCCGCCGCCGCCGCGAAACCGTAAAAACGTATAACGTATTATAACGCATATAAATATCATAAAATAATTTATATACGCGCAAACACATAATAATAATAATAATAATAGCAATAATAATAGTAATATACTCGCTACAGTATATTATATACCGAGTTTTATAATAAAGTCTCGCGTGTGCGGTCGTCTACTCTCTCTGCCGTTCGGTACACGCGTATTATACGCGTTCGGTGCAGTAGTCGAATTTAACGACTCCCCCGCCTACCCCTACCCCCACTCCGGACGTTATAAATTATTATTTTTTCGTATTTTTTATTTCGTATCGTATATTGTGTCGTACGCGCGCAAAACGAATTCCGAAAAAAAAAAAATACAAAAACATTTTACGCGTATAAACACGCGTTTAGTCCGACGTGCGTAGATTATTATTTTTAGACGTTCCGTCCGTCACTCCCGCGAGTCCATTCAGTGTTAACGGTCATTATGGTCGCGTAAACATATATCGTGGCCGCGCGTGATTTCGAATCCGCGGATCGCGTCGCGGGCAACGTTTTCGCGCGACGCGCACGCGTTTTTGTAGGTCGTAACTGTCCCATTACGCGTCCAATAACTATTGTAAATTACGTATATGTGTATATATTTATTGTGTTTTTTTTTTTTTTTTTTTTATTCCCTTCAAATGCGCCGCGATTTCGGCCAGTGTACATTGAAAACCTGTTCGCGAAATAATAACCGATATTACGTTCGTATTGGACTCGGGTTTTATTTTTTTTTTTTTATATATATATGTATATACGGTCGTCGCGACGTAATAATTATTCGAATTATCGCTTGTTTCGTTATCATTATCATTATTATTAGCGGTGTACGAGCGCGTTGTAAATCACGAACGGCCACAACGATTCGATTCGAAAACGATAATAATACTGTGTACTCACGGATTTCGTGACGGATCGCGATAATTTATGCCGCGGAAACGAGTTGTAATGTCGATTTTCTGAAAACCTACGTGTTTTATTCCGCGACCAGATACTGGTATAATATCGAACAGAAAAAATCGATAAATAAAAAAAATCGACGTACATTCAAAACCGGGTATAATAATAATTATCATCGGACGTTTTCGTTTTTTTTTTTCACCCTGCGTCTACCCACTCCTCATATGTCGCGCATAAAGTTTACCGGCTCCTCTTGTTTGCGTATACGCGTCACAATATTAATATAACATTACAGTACCGCCACAGCGCCGGGCACGTAATATTTGTTATATTGTATAGGTGTTAAGCGTATGGGGGGGGGGTGCAGAGTAAAACAGTACGCGATCGAGAATATTGCGCATAGATCGGATAAAAACCCGAATTTTCGTGTTGCTAGTGCTAGAAAAATACATTTGAAAAATAACAAGTATCGCGCACTATCCAAATGCATATTTTAGATTCTTAAATTATAATTATGAAAATCGAGCTTTGATATCCGACCAGCAAAATATTCTTTCAATTTAAATAAACGGAAAAAAAAATGTTCAAAAACCGACAATTCTCCAGAGCGTGAGAAATTTTCCCAAGAAACACTAACTCACGAGAGAAACGGTTTTTTTTTTTTTTAATATATTAGTCTCGTAGCAGAGCATCGAGCGTTTCGGAGAATTATCGGGCATTGCAAAATAGAGACCTGCAAGTTTTTTTTTTTATCAGAGGGTCATTGTGTGTAGCGAGGCTAGACGATTACGAGATCATTATTATAAAAGCATTTCGCTTCTTCGTTTATTGTTTTTTATTTTTAGTTCGTGACGTAATGTAGTATAACGGTTGGTGAGATACGGGAGCAGTATTAATTGTCAGTGTCCCGAGAGTAATGTTTCGGAAAGTTTAAATTCTGATTAGATTTGACGTTTTAGCATATTATCCCGCACCTGCGTAGGTCCGTATTGGCCTATATTAAGATTAAACGATAAAATTCGGACCGCGTCTCGTTTCCGAAGACAGCGACATATTTTATCGAGCGCTGGGTTAGCTTGGGCGCCCGACCGATGTACCGTAACGATATAATATTATAGGCAAGTGCGGTATACGACCGGATACCGCGGATACCTACACATACGTTATAATAATATACGCGTGCGCGCGGTCCAATAAAAACGCATTAGCATTTTTTTCCTTTCCGATCCCCGCCGTGACCCTCGCGTGCTGGTCACGAATACCCAAAATACGCCGTCCGCGCGTACGCCTTGAATTATTATGTTCGTTTCAAAGATTCAACCCTTTTCGGTATTGTCGCGACTACGGTACTGTTATTATATTATTTGTCCGCGACCGACCCGATCTCAACAATAACTCAAACCGTTCCCATTGTCGTCCGTACGAAAATATTGTTTCTGCCGTCCGCTCGGTCCGCGGTGTGCGCGGTCTGTTTGTGTTGTGGGTGTCCCGGGGTATGCCGGCGGTCTAAAAGCGAGAACATAAACCGTTCGACGGCCTTGCGCGTTTGTTTTTTTTTTTTTCTGTTTTTTTTTTTTGTTTCTCCTCTAAGGGCGCGCGCAAGACGTTTAATACGGGGTCGCGATGCGTACAGAAAAAATAACGCGGTCGGTTTTATAATCGTATAATTTATTATTAAGTGCACTATTGTACTATTATTGTTATAATAAAAATAACGGTTCTGTATTCGTCCGCCGGCGTGCCGTATACCGCGATGACCTTCGATTTCGTCTTCTACTCCGGGTTCGTTCGTTATTTCGGATCTTTTTTTCTTTTTCTTTTTTACATTAATATTATTACTATTAAATTATCCGTTACGATGATCTCGCGATAATCTTTGACGGCGCTCGCGGTCCGATTTCCGATAGATTCTTTTGAAAATTACCCGTCGTCGTCGGTCGTCATCATCATCGTCGAATGACCCGCACCGCGGTACAATGCTCGCATACATCGTCTTATTAAAATGTTTATAAAAAAAAAAAATTTTAAAAAAACCGTCGATTCGGAAACGTGCGTATACCTTTCCGAACGCCGGACAAACGATACCGACCGCGAATCGATCGAAACGTATCGTTTTTCGTATACGCTGCGGCGTTCGTGTGCCCCGAATATCCGTTTAAAAAATACTATATTATTGCATGTATTGACACACCGTTTACAGATGGAATAATATTACGTGAAGATGCCATCGCGCGTCGCCATAATAACGATAAGGTTTACGATAGCGCGGAACAGTTCGTAGTTAGAAAACAATCGTAAAAAAATCATTTTTCTTTTACTGTTAAAACGATATAATTAAAACGATAAACGACGAGACGACGACGACGGGTTTACCGTGCCGCTCTCGAAGGTGTTTATCCGATTATTATTGCAGTATAGTTTCACCGGTTACAATAATCATGTGTCCGTATTTTAATAATTTATAGTAAATATTATCGATGGTGTTTTGTAAAAAAGGGCGCGCCGAAAATCGAAAAATAAAGTTTCAGTATCAAAAAAAAAAAGATAAGAAAAATTGAGACCATAAACTGGTAAAAAGGCGTATTTAAATACCATTAATTTTGGTAATTTTGACCAAAAGATATTCAGGCGCCCTATTAAAATGTGTACGATTATGTGTAATTTTATTGACGATAAATTTTATTGAAAACTGTTTCGCCATTTCTTTGCAAAACGGTTTAATTTGCTTCCTGAAAAAAAAAAAAACGTCTTAGCGGTATACGCCATTTTATAACAAAACACCGTCGTTATTATAACCTTATATTTTGCGGCGAATTACTTATTTTCGCATACGAATCGTCGCGGATAACTCCCGAAATTATAACGACTAAACAAACACGAAATTTCGACGTTTTCTCCGGGCAGTGTTCCGATCTATCAGCTATTAGGCATACGGATTATTATAATAAAATGTATGAGAGAAAAACGAAACCCCGTATTAAAAAGATGCTTTGTCGGCGTTCCTGCAGTACAAAACACTATCGTTTCTCGTGTGTATAATATATGATATTGTAACGTCGCTCGTCGCACCCCACGGAGAGACGGAGCAATACGGTTGGTGTGTATCGCGCGCGGTGAGAAAACGAAGGGGAAAAATTAAAAAAAAAATCTTCGAATCTTCGGTGTCTGTGTGTGTGTGTGTGTGTGTATGTACTGTATACATATTAAAAAATATAAAATACCGTATATATAAACGATGAATTATGGTTATTGTGCCATGAACATGACACAACAGTGTCTGCCGCCGCCGTTATCTTTGCAGTCGGGGGCGGCTCCTGCGGGTCTCGTCCCTCTCGCTGGGATCCGTCGTCGTCGTCGCGACCCTCCGAAGAAAATAAATTACGCCGGGTGCTTCTACACGATGCGTACACTGCGCAATACGTCCCCCGCACACACACACACACACACATATATATATAGTATACGAATTGCCGTTGTTCGAAAAAGATCATTGCATAAAAATAACGTCCGCCGGGGTCTTGCGCGGGCGAAATGTCTTTTGGAGAAAAAAAAAAAAGCAGCATAAATAAAAAATATTTATTATATACTGCGCGCGCTGCGCCCTCTCGCGCTCGTAAATTTGTCAATAAATGCGCGTGTACGGAAAAGAAAACGGAAAGGGTGGAAAACGCGCGTGATGCCGTTCTGGCAGCGGTATATTTCGGTTTTATATGCACGGACAAGAAAAGGATGGAAAAAAAAAAATCAAATACGAATACAATAATAATATGTACGGCCGCGAGGAATTTCTTTATCTGTACACTACTTTATATATGCACCGCACTTATGTTATTCCGTCTCTTGTCCGATTCTCGCGTCAACAATGCGGTTACAATATATACCATTACGTACATCGGACCGTGTACACATTACTCGAATTAAAGGGATTTGTGTGTTTTGGATAATATATCGGCGGTCGCCGCAGGTTTTGTCGTCGTTATTTATACCTGGATTGACCCAGTTTGTTTGAACTGTAGAGAAAAAAAATAATGTATATTATACAGGTAATTCGATACGGTGGTTTTTTTTTCGTTTTATTCCCAAAGGGTTAAACGTATAATAAAACGCTATGTAGGTCAAACGTCGTTCTGTTTAATATAGGTACACGCCGGTCACACAATAGGTGTTTCGGGTCGATTAAAGTGAATCCGGGCACCCTGTCGGGCAGTACCGCAGTACATAGATACGCATAGGTATAACCGATTTTATCGTCCAAGACCTCGTTTAGGACGTTATTTAGGTTAACCGCGTTTGTACAAAATAGAACCAAGAACCGACGGAATGCGCAATACTTTTGTATAATACCTTTAAACCAGGGGTATTCAACCCGCGGCCCCCCTTGTCATTATTCGCGACCCGCGATCACATTTGAAGTACAGCATATCTTTTTATATTTCGATAAAATTAGAACGGCCAAAAGCCGTCGCTATCGAAAGAATTGGAAAATATTCGATAAGATAAATTATATTACCCACTGTTTTCGGTAGTACTTACACTTGTGGGCATATATTTTCACGAATGAAAATAGTCAAATCGAAAACTAGAGCTCGGTTAACTGACATTCGCTTAGAAAACTCGCCGATAATTGCATCGTCTCAGATCCAACCAAATATAGAAAAACTAGTTGGTGAAAAATAATGTCAGTTATCGGTTATCGCGTTAAATATAAAATAAATAGTTTTTAATTGAAAATTTAAATATGTTAATCTATATGGGTATGTTTTAATAATAACTAACTAGAACTTCTAATGCCCGTGGCGAAATACCGCTCGGGGCCGACGAGCATAAAAAACAAATAATGCCTTGAACCCTGGTTCGGGGCCTCTAAATGCCATGGGGCCCGCAGCGTTCGTCTACCTAGCCCGTCCCGGTATTTTCGCCACTGATACGTACGGTCGGCCGAATCGAAAACGATCGAAGACGCACAGCTGATGACACCGTAACGTTTTCGTCGTTTTCGATGCGAAATACGAATTCCGCGTCGTGAAAGACGAATCGAATATCGACGTATCAAACATCGTCCGCAGCTGCGGCGGCGTATAGTGACGTAAAGTTATTTTCACGTCTCGGGGAACGTTACGCCGCGGAGGAGAGTAAGGGGGGAGGGGGGTGGCGTTTTTTTTTTTTATTATACCGACGAATCGCTACGTACGACGATGTTCTTTCCGTGTTGACATTTTGCCGCGCAGCAACGGGAAACATGCCGTGTTCTGCCCCGTCTCTCGTTTTTCGAATAAACGGAGATAGCGAAAGGGAATAAAAAAAAAAAAAAAAACACATACATACACACACATATCACACGGCGCGCACGTCCGATATACGTATACGCGATAATAAAGAACCGATAAATTGCCCGGGAAAAAGTAAAGTCGTTTTCTCGAAAACCATATTAGAGTCGTCGTACGTATAAGATCGCAGGTGCTCCGGAAATAATAACAATAATAATAATACGTGCAGCGCTACTGTGTACACCTACAGTATGTATTGTGCAGTACAAGGCGCCGGGGGCCGAACGCAGGGAAACTGTATACGTACGGAAAACTTACGAGCTCGTCGTTTCATTTTCTTTCCCTCCCCGCTCGGCTCGGTGCACACGCACGCGCGCGCGCACACACGCGTAACGGGTGAAAAACCCCCTCGATATTTCCCTTAGGTGTTATTCTCGCCCCTTACGAGAAACGTCGGAGAACGTATACTTTACGAATATACACGTACTATGCGCGTACTGCGGGACGTATAGCGCGTGTAACGTGTAATAATATTGCGCGCGGTGCGCGCGCCATCTGTTTTCGACCGTCGTTTCCCCGTCGTCGGGTCTTTCCCGTCTGCCCCGCGCCGCGCACTTCGACCGTGCAGTACGCATATACCGCGTATAGGCGGTGCTTTGCGCGAACGGGCCGAGAGAGAGGTTACGGACGATAACCTCTGGGAAAGACGAGCGATCGGCCCAACAACACGGCCGCAGGGGGAGGCCGGCAGAGGGAAATCGTTTACAGCGTCGCGAATTGATATCGCCGCGTTTTCGCCGTTTGTCGAATTCCCGACGAGTCCTCGCGCGAGGGTCTTCTTTTCGCCGTCTGCACGCGCGCGCGTATTACATCGTTATGTATTACACCCCGTACGTCGTGCACTGCAGACGTATATACACACGTATACGTATACGTATATATATATTTATGCGCGAAACTCGATTCCGGCACTCCAATAGGGCCACTGCGTGCCGGTCGCACTCCGTCGGATCGTAATATACCTTTATTCCCGCGTACCCCGTAGCGAAATACGTGCGTTTTCTTTTCTATTCGCGTTCACCTCCCCGTCACTGCCGTATATTATACGCGAGAGCGCACTCGACAACTGCGATTCGAAACCGCGCGCGACGAGGTGCGCGGATACGACACACGTAATATTGTATTATGTTACGCGCGTATGTACGCGACCGCGTTCCCTATACGTGTACGTGTATGCGTGTGTACGTGTACCGCCCAGGAACGCGTGTTACGCATACCGCGTCCGATATTGTCCGTGTGCGACGACAACAATACACGTGTGTGGGACCGCGTTAAATCCGATGCGCACTCGGGCGGCGGGGCGAACAGAATGCCCGCGGATACTCGAAAATCGCCCCGATGGATATTTTCGTCTCGTCATTGTTACGCGTAATATCGACAGCCGCGAACACAATACGCGATATAATAATTTACGCGGTCGCCGGTTGAAACACAATGGCCGAAAGATGCGTTCTCCTTTTTACCCAACCTAACCTATTGACGTTTCGTCAAAATATACGAACGTTTCGGGTGGGGAGGGGCGGGAGGGGATCGAACAAAACAAACAAAAAACGCGAATTTCCGACGTTATTTATTTGATTACGTACGTATAGTTTACGAAAACCGTTAAAACGATAATACTATTCCCAAGGAACATTCGTATTACAATGTTTAATTTTCCGTAACATTTTAATCGCGTGTAAAATATTTGTTAGCGAACGTTATACGAATAATATTCTACTTTGTGTTGTAAGCTCGTGCACTGCAGCAGTCTCTGGCGGTAGGTCTGGAACGTGTTATTTCGTATCAAGTATTATAATATACTCGTATAGTATACAATATCATAAATGTATATAAAGACGTTTAGTTCCCGTGAATTAGTTTTCGACTTACGGCCTCTCGTCCGTGCGAGTAGAAAATACGGTTTTTTTTTTTTTAATAATATATAACGCATTATACGACACGTCGTCTAAATTAAAACACTTAAACACAGTCGTATACGTTTGTTATTATGCTCACTATTTTTTTTTTTTTTTTATACATAATATATATTATATATTATAGCGCAGTTACATCACAATAATATTAATAATATGTTGCGCGACGACGATAACAACACTCGTCGAGTGCATCATAATAATCGTAATATTATGTAGAGAGAGTCGGAAAGAGAAGTAAGTACTTACTCTAACGAAACGCGTTTGTCGACCGCCACGCCGCAGGATTTTCGTTTATTGTATAATTTATTACAATACTATCTCAGTCCGATTTTCGTCGGATTTACATTTTCTCAACCACACACATACTGCACACGTGTACACACATGGAAAACAAATTATACCCGTATCTGCCTATAAAAATACACACGTAGGTACAGAAAGGGTTAATACTGATACCGGGCAGGCCGTTGTAACCGTAGTTTGGAAGGTACGTTTGATATAAACCGGGGTCATTTAGTGCGTGACTATAATAACCATTGGAAAACGAAAAACGTAATTATGTCAGGGGTACAAGTCGTGATTTTTCCCTAGCCGTCGTAATGAACTGTCCGGGAAACGAATACAAATCAAACAACAAAACTGGAAAAGACCCGTAAGAGAGAATACCGGACACGAATTTCGCATCAGTTATTGAGGCGGATTCTGCGTGGAAAATCGGAGTACTCGCTTAACCGATAATAAAGAACAGTATTTCGGTAAAAATTATCGGGAGTTTTGAAAAGTGCTCCGAATAAAGTACTGTCTACCGAAAAATCCGCGGTTTTCAATATACGACGTGAACAAAGCGGAATATTTTTAACCAACTGTTACTGTTACTGCTGGAAATTATAAGCAAATATATTTTTTTTCTTGTAGTTTTTCAGTTCAGGACAATACGAAAATTTAGCGTTTCTACATAGTACAGAGAATGATCTAAAAATAGGAATAGGTAAATATTTGACGTATATATTTGGATAATAATTTCTAGATCCGCAATCAGTCGGCGATCGTTTTTTTTTTCAATTATAACTGAGACACAATCAATTATAATGACAAACTTAGAAACATTAGGACTACCTAGTTGAAAATTATATTCAAAATAGTTCTTTATCTCCACCTTCAATTCGGGCAGATAAAAGCAGCAACAGTGTGAATCTTTTAATTTAGAGTTTAATTTTCAATTTTATTCACCACGCCCGAATATCTACAATTTCTTAGATGTATTATATATGTATATATATATAGTGTTCAAGCTGATATTGAAATTGTTATGAAAAAGTTCTAATAATAAAAGGCCACACAATAAAAAACATTCGAGATGGAATACAATTTATAGATTGTCAAATTCAAAAACACGCAGAAAACGGTGTGTACTATCCGGATTTCAATATATACTGCGAGCATGCTGACCAAAAAATTTAAGTCTACTGAACAATGTTATTTATATTTCAAAGTCCCTCATTCTTCTTAGAGGGAAAAGGCCTCTTGGCATACCGAAACTGAGACGGACAGATAAAGATGGAAAAAGAGGACGTAGGAAAATTGATACCGCGGGATCAGAACGGTGATGCAATACACGCAATTTAATTTGCTCGCGTAATAAATCGTTATTTGTTGGCTGTGTGATTGCCTACCGGGAGCCGATTGAACGTGTACAGGCGAAAGGAATCCGATAACCCCCGGGGCGGCGCCGGGTCCCTCGGTCGCCCGAACGAGATGAAAACGAGCCGCGCTCCGTCTTTGCACGAGACTGCGGTAATCGCTTCGCCGTCGGTGCATACAATCCAAAATCGCGTGCACATTGTGTGTACGCGCGGCCACGTCGTACGGGGGCGACGGTTTTTTAAACCGCCCCCCACCTCCCTTCTCCCCGGCCCCGCCGCCGTTTCGATCTCCGCGGCGAAAAATCGATTGCCGACGGCGACGACGCCCGCGCCGGACACCATTCGGCCGTGGAGTACAACGCGTACGGTTTTCTCCGCGACGGCGTGCACAAAAACGCCGTGGCGCGACAACAACAACAACAATGCCGACGGACAATATAATAATATATTGCGCGCCGCGGTATAAACGCCCACGCGGCGTCGGTACGCGAGAGGGCGGTGCGAATAAAAATGGTCGGGGTGTGTGCGGGCGGTAGGTAGGTGAGTATGCGTACGTGCGCGCATAACGTAATATAATATAATGACGACGGCGGCGGCGAACGGGGCGAAACTCTATACCGGGTTGGGGGGNGGGGGGGGGGGGGGGTGATGGGCGAGTAAGGGAGTCGCGGGCCCGCCGCGGAGAGTGAGAAAGGGAATTAGGGGCGGTGTAATTTCATTAGAAACACCGGCGGCGGCGGCGGCGGCGGTGGCGTCACGTGCGCGACTCGCTGCGATATATCGCGGCGCGAGGGTGCGTTTTATTGTTATTCTCGGCGCGCAATTAAACCGATGGTCTCCCACCCGCTACCCCGCCCCCGCCCGGTCCGTTCGCCGCGGCGCGGTCATGTACCCCGCGCCGCCTCCTCGCCGAAATTCGCTCGTCCGCGCACACTAGTCGCGAGGTTACGCCGTCGTCGTTCTCCCTCTAATATACGCGTGTGTATATATGCCGCGATAATAATATAAATAACCCATTTCCCCTATCTCGCCTCGCCGACGACCCCGCCGTACATAGCGCGTTATTATTTTTCTTCTCGTCGTCGTCGTCGTTTTTTTTTTTTTAATTAAAGAAGAAGACGAGAGGAGAAAAAAAACGGCGACAACGACGATAAATATCCGTAATAAGTATACGCGGCGAGTATATACCGCGCGGCGGAGAGAGAGAGAGACAGAGAGAGAGAGAGAGAAATAGAGAGAGATATGGAAACGTAATAATATCGTATACCTAACGATGATAATAATATAATATTACGCGCGTATAATATCGCGCGCATCCGCGGAGGAGAAAACGACGACGTCTTATCGCGTTCCCTTTGCCCGGGGCATCTGCCGCTCCGGCTGCATATTTTATAATAATAATAATAATAATAATAATATTAGTATTATTATTATAAACTATAACGACGGTGACGGCGGTTAAATTTAACGGCACGGAAACATAATAATAATTATTATTATACTCGTGTCGTGTGTAATATAACGTACACGGACTGCGCTGCGCTACGTGACTTCTTGGCCGCGACTTTGTCTCGCCCGTCACTCCGCCGCTGTTGCTGCTGCGGACCCGGTCCGCGCATAATTTTTATTTCGTCTGCGTGCGCCGCGGTACGTTTTATCGCGTTTTCTGTTTGGCGGCGGCGCACGATCGAAGGAAAAAAACAAAAAAAAAAACAAAACGATATCCGCGAAACGAAAGAAAAAAAAAACCCGCAAATACACGGTACAGCGATGGTAATAAATATTCGCGACGTGCACGGGACGCGCCGTTTCGGTGCGGTCGCGCCCGGGAATTTCCGACGCGGAGGTGACGGAGGCCGCGAACAACGACCGCGTGCCTAACCGCGCGGGATTTACGCCGCGTCTGCGTGCACCCGATCCGAAAGGCCAATTCGATAATCGATACGATTCGAGCTTCGCCTCGCGGTTCGGCCGAATTGCATTGTTTCTGGCACGTTTCGCGATCAAATCTCTAAAACCGAATAAACGCCCACAGTTTGCGAATTTCTTATCCGACGGTGAACGATAAGACTCCCGACTTCCCGAACCTGCCGATATTCGCTCTTATTATTATCACGCGATAATTTTGCATCGTACCGCGCGCCGCTTTTCGGACCATACGAGTTTCCGATTCACTACAAAACAAAAGTAATATTTTTCCAAATACCGTCGCGTCTCGAAGAAAACGAAAACTAAAACATTAGATATATACGTTTTAATAGTGAGGTTTCTGACCAGTGATTAAAGCGTGAAAAACATCAAAGACGAATGTATTCACCGGGAATTGAGGGGCGTTCCCGAGGAAAAACTAAACCTAAACAGATTTTCTTTTCAGACCTCGAGACTTGTTTTCCTCTCGCACGCACATTGTTCATAAAAATGTTTTAAAGATATTGGGTTTACACACAAATTGCACCCCCAAAATGTTATCCTACGCGTATACGGCTGTTCGGTAAAAATTAAGTAAAACACAGTATTGCAGAAGAATTTGTTTTTAACAAAACTAATTTTAGAGTGTTTAAAATTTAATTATAAAAATGTCTCCGTGACAATAATTAAACCGTGCGCCCTTAATGGACATTTAAATGGGGGGGGGGTCGATAATGCTTTACCTTCAATAATTAGGGAGACGCTGTCTCCCTCCTGACCCTCCCACTCACTTAAACCGCTGTTTCTGACCCCGTGTAATGGACCGTATAAACCGAAGTTTAAAATGCGAACCACGTGTCCGTATAAGTATACGCGCGCTGCGCGGAGTGCGCCCACACGATTACGCTTTTGAGTTTCTCACACACGCGCGGCATAATATACGCGTGAGTATTATACATTATTTTAATAAAGTGTTAAGTGAACGAAGAACATTTCAAACGAGTGTACTCTAACGAGGTTTTAAATAACGTGACTGCAAATGGTCCGTGTTCTTACACACGTTTGTGGTACGGTCCTCGTGTACCAGTAGTCATTGCCCATGGTCGAACCGAGTGTATGTAAAAACAACTATTGACAAGTTTCAAGTGGCGCGGCGGTAGAAAATACGAATAAAAGTGTAATACTATCAAATCGCGCGTGGAAAAAAAAAAATTTTAAAAAAGGAGAAAAAAGTACTTGTATACGATAATATATTGAACGGGCGTGCACAAACCCGTTTGTATTATAAGCCCGACCGCAATATTATTTTGATTGATCGTCCCGTTGAAAATATCGGAAACGACGATTTTCACCGGCCATAATCATATTACCCATATTATTATTGTTTTTATTGTACCGCCCACTTAAATATTTATCTCGCACTCGCTTATCGGCTGTCAACACAAAATTATTAATGTTTATTACCTCGGCTAAACAATTAATATTTTATCGGCCGCGACGGAGTAAAAAAAAAAAAAATATATCTTGTTATACTCGTAAAACCATAACGTTTTAATAACATTAGGTCCCCGTCGAGTTTTTCCCGAAACGTCCGCGGGTTTAATATTGTCGAATACCAACGTCGCAATGCCCCCAGGCGACCGTGTTACCGGGGAAGATTATCCCGAAAGCGGGGTCGGATTTGGCCCAATCGCAGCAGCCCTGCAGGCACATATTCGTCAATAACAGCCCATTGTGAAGTCGCGCCTAAATCGCGATAACCTACACTTCAAACGCGAAAACTATGAGCGAATTAAATTTCAAAATTGAAAATTATTATACATTACTGAAAATCCATTTTAATATGGATGATTTCGGGACGCTATTGTGTCATATAGAAATGAACGTGATGATTTTTATCGTAAATATCGAGACGAAATAGATCGGCGCGATCGCAGTTTTTTTATCGATAAGCATCATACCCCGACCAGGACACTTCACTTCACCCCTATTATCGTAGTTTTCTACTAATCATTTTTTGGCCGACAGTACCTGAGAACTATAATACGAAACATGCCGTTTTAGAATTGTTTTGGAATATTATGAAACGGTCATTCGTTCCGAATAGTTTTAGCGAATTTAAACATAGGAAATGTGAACACAATGAACTACCGCACCCATCTCGACAAAGGTAAAATTCGGACAGTTTCACCGTTGGAATAACAATTTACGGGGCGAAAGGTAGAGCGGCCCTTAATAATATATGCAAGTGGCTTCGATGTTATTACTATTACAATAAAATGGATATATTTTTTTTTTTTTTTTAAACCATTTATCCAAACAATATAAATACATGACAAGTATACTGAAAAAACAAATTGGTTTAGCTACCTTCTTTAAGCAGAACTTGAGTTGAAGATAGCTAATTGTTTTGTAAGCGATTGCACAGTATATGAAAATTACAATGCTATGAATTATGTAAAATTAGGTTATTAAGTTTACAATTAAGTCATAAAAAAAATTCGATAAAGATTTATTTAAATTAATGTTAGTAATTAATCGAACATGCTTCTTAAAATTATTATCTATGCAGTGGCTTAGTAAAGTTATCCGAATCACTTTTCTTTTTCTTTTTTTACATGCTGACAACATAGGGAGGAGTACAATACAATCAAACTCCAGTACATTTTATAAACTATCATATTATTAAAACTATATTTTTTTAAATAATGAAGTCTATATGAGGGAAGATTTTTTTTAATATAATCACCTGTGGTCACGACCCGCAGACTAACTGCAGAATCACTGGTATATCGTATTACAAATAAATAACGATCTGTCGTATAATCGACGAAAATTATACTTTCAACGATAAAATGGACGGTGTTTATCGATAATAGACAATAAAATGACAACACCACGACACCGATAATGTATTAATTTCCGTAAAAACACGGACGTTCAATAATGATTGAGATTAGGTATTGTGATCGTTTATCGTTATATTATTGTTATTATTATTGTTGTGTACAAATACGAAATTAATTAAATGTATAACAATAAAGTGTTGTCAATTCAGTAGTTAAACGTTATTGATCGTCCGAGGGAACTGTATCCGAACGGCCTATGACAATGCGTAACATAATATTATCCCAATGCAGACGACAGATGAAAACGAACGTCAGTCAGTGTCAGCCGTCAAGAGTCGTCAAATGTATGTACGGTCGTGCGTTAAATAGGTAACGAGACCGATATCGGAACATTCATCATACGCCTTTTATCGTTGGTATTGCCGCTGTTGCGTTATTAATACGATTGACGACAATATCGTGCAAACAGTTATTGTTAATATCACAGCGCCTGTATAATTGCATGTGTCGTGTGTATTAATTTCGTCGTTACTGTTACCGGGCGCTGTGTTAACCGTAAAACAATCGTGCGACACGATACCCACGATACCAGGCGGTGGCAAAACGCTAATAAAATGAATGCCATTAGCGGACGGCTGTTTCTCGCACAAAACCAACAGTGGAAATAGCAGCTACACGGCAATAAACAACGGGTCCCGTCGACTGTTGTTAACAAATAACCTAAGCTTTTGTGACCGGGATTTGACCGGTCTCATCGAGTTTTCAACAAACGGTTCACGGACAAATAATTGTCCCGTCGAAATGGAAACGTGGTTTAAACGACACCATTAAAATCTCTTAAAATGAAAATACAGACAGGCACAATCATCTCAAAATAACACGATTCGGCAGTGATAAGAAATAAACAGTTCAACAGTTTATAGCAGCTTAGATGTTTGTAGGGGACCGGACGTAGAAATTTACCGTTTCCGTATTAAAAATTCGTTTCTATAGAGAGATTATACAAGTATCTCTCGCTATACCTTTTTTTTTTTTTCATTGTTGTTAATTTTTGTTTGCGTTTTTAACATTAAATCCTATATATATATATATATACATATAGTGAGTGCAATCGAACATTGCTTTGTTACGCCTGTTGTATCGTTAACGGCGATAAACCAATGAACGCGGAATCAAAAACCACACACGTTTCGAAAATGTGAAGAGCCTAGCCCCCTATTCGCGACGACGGGGTAAATGCCCTGACCGGAAATAGACGTTGGATCCGCCCTTCGCGCTGCATAAACGTGATACACATGCGGATCATTATACGAGTATTATAAGAACGTAAAAAATAAAGCGTTTTATAGCATCAGTAACGATTTATTGTGTTCACTCGCTTATAAAAAAAAAAAAAAAAAAACCGTGCCCCTTTTCATCCGGCTGTCGTCGAAAAACTGTATCTCGAAAAACTCCGCGCTTTAGAAGATTATCGGGTATTTTTTTTTTTTTTGAACGATTGATATTTACAGTGAATTGTGTTTATTTTTTTTCGAATTTTCATCGATAGGATTTCACTACAGGATATTTCGTGGCGGGCCTCTTGTAAACGCGGACATTTCATAAATACACTTGTTATACCCACCGCCCCGGATCCGAGGGGGGACCACGTAATAAAACACCGTGCACGGTCTCGTCGGTCTCGAAGGATATAATACGGGAATACGATAATCCAGCGATTCCGTCAATGTTTACACAACTGTTCGTATTCGAATTAGATTTTAAAACGCGCGCCGTATCGCCGTCCGTGTCCGTTTGTTCGCAGTACGCACAACAACGGTACAGTAAAACATTATGATAGTATTGTTTTGTTCGCGACGAGATCGTTATCGCGCCAACGTAATCCCGCGATCCGTTGATTAACCCAATTTATACTGCAGCTGCCATAACATTATGTCTGTCCGTCCGTTTTCGTCCGTTTTACGACCTCGTTTCCCGTCTCGACGACGACGACGACGACGGTATTTACTCGGGAGTTGTCGAAAACCCGGGCGAAAAATAAACCTTATTAATATTATTATGTAACTATAGAGTTTTCGTTTCGATCGTTTACTGTGTATGCCGAAAAGTAGGGGCAGCGACGGATATCCCTGCACCGTATAGAACGCGAGTATTGCGTTACGTTATCACGACGATTATTTGTGACTCGAAAGCAATCGTCCGACGACAATGATAACGCGTGCGATGCGTATGATTATTCTGGCAGTCGCCCGGCTCGCAAAACGGAACGGGACTTTTATTTAGTTTTTTCGCAGATGAAAAGTCGATTCGGCGAAACAGACTTTTCCGAGCACATCCGTTTTGTGATGGACGTCCCGACGGTGCGACGAAAACGCGAAAGTGCGTCCGGACGCTATGCCGTTGCCAGTACTCACGGCGAAACCAACAGCCGCGAAAACGGACTTGGGCCGAAACTTTCCACGGGCGCGCAATTCCAGAGATCGCGGCCGCGTAACGCACGGCGTATACCTACCCTCGCGAGTCCGTTCCTGCGGGAACGCGGCGCGAAAGTTTTTACGGGAACACGCCCGCGGACGATATTGTACGACGGGGGGTGGGGTTAGGGTTCAATACGTACGGGTAAAGCCGCTGCGGGACGGCCGCAGTAACACCGTATTAAACGGAAACGATTCCGCCGGACCTGTCGGTGCCGCGACCATGGTCGGGGCGTTTAGGGGTTATAACCTATTCCCTCTACCCTCCGCCCCCCCCTTCCCGCGTAATTCGATACACTATTTTTCAAAAGTATTACGACGAATCCGGTACAATTGTGCCGTAGCAACTGTGGTCCGGAAATTTATTGGATATTTATCCACCTCCCAACACAACCCCCCCCCAACCTCTCCCCGGCCCTTCGAAACCGGTAACGCAAACGCGACCCGGGCTGCGTGGCACTTCCTCGGCGCGCGCGTGACTGTATTCGGCCGATAATAATTCGTTGTTAGAATCGAACAAACATCGCGGGAAACTCGATAACACGCGCGTTTGCAGTGCATACGTTTTTTTTTTTTTCTTTATTTTAACCATAAACGGTACAACGAAGTGTGCGCTGTGTGTTCGTGAGATGAAAGACGTTAGTGGTTTATATTTTATGGCGATTGTATACGATTGAATTATGTCGTTTATAGTTGACCGCGCGATGAGACTCGCGAAGATGGGCGTCCTGCGGTTTTTATGCGTTTCGTACGATATATCGAATTAATTTCATCCATTTCATATTGCAGTACATACGTATACGATTATGATAGGTAGGTACCTACGCAACGCGTCTCTCGTACGTTCGTGTCGAAACGATAAAATTGTATGGAAAAAAAAAAAATAAATAAAAAAACCTAATATATTCTAGAAAAACGTACAACAATTACGTAACGATATTTAACATTAAAAACTATGTGTTCTGCGGTTCTTTATTCGGTACGAAAATCACGACGTGCACAATGTCGGCGATGTTTAGGTCGCGGGAATACATAATAGCGTTCTGACAAACAGAGTGGACGTAAACAATAAAAAAAAAAATGTCGTTGCGGGGTTTTTCGGAAGAGTAATCGATTAGGCGTATTCTAACCGCGAAAACGTGCCTAGATAAAAAAAAAAGAATAAACTAAAAAACGATTTCATTGTAATATTATCGCAGTGTTGGTCGTGTGGTATTCGTGACCGTACTCGATTATATATTACCTATATACGGAGTCGCGTACCTAAAATAAAGAAAAACAAAAACAAAAACGATAAATCAGCGTTCGAAAGCATTAGCAGAAGTGCTGTAAAATATCGAAGTTCGTATAAATTGTTCAAGTTTCAACGAAATTCCCCCGTGGCCGTGGGCGCAAGTGTATAATAGACTTGGTAGGGCTATCCGCTTTTTTTCGAACACAAACACGAATTCACGATCGAAGAATTAACAAAATGCCAGCAACAAAAAATGTTTATCAGTATAGTGGTTTCCGTCCGAACGTATCGCGCACGCCGAGAAAAAAACGTCTAGATACGCCACTGAAAAACGCACGTGATTCGATTTCCTGTTTTGTAAAACGCTACGACAATCGGATGACGGGGGCCATTGTATAATTCTTTCCCCCGACGCCCGATAAGGAGCACAAAGTCGTAGAACGTCATAACCTCAAAACTATTATTAACCACGTCTCGAAACTCGACCGGTTACGCAACCGCACGTCCGGTATCAGGTCGGAGGGTAGGAAACGTTTTCGCTTGTTTGCTTTTGACTTTACGAGTATAGAAATTTAACGAATTCGTCCCGTGTTGTATGAAACCCACCACGGGATTATAGCTCAGTGGCTCGGGGGGACGGTTTAAAAATCTTAATACACCGCCGATGTGATTACTATTTTATTACCTACAGACGCAGTGCCGGTTCGGAAAATATCGAGGGTCTCTGCCCGGTTCGTTTAATACGAATTTTTTTCCTCTATTTTCCTAAATAATCACGTGAAATTGCTTTACAGCTGTGCGACTGTAGACGCGGTGCCTCTAAAACGTCCGCCAACTGGACAACGTCGAAAACGCCCCGCCCGGGTTATGGCGCCTTTATCGTTTCGAAAAACTCCGGCTCGGGCGCTCGGCCTCTGCCCCGGCTCGACGGAGAACCGTATTACCGCGATTTGTAAACAATTAATCATCGATAATTATCGCGCGACGTTTACAAACACGCGTTTCGTGTCGATTGTCGCGTGCCCGACCGCGCGATAGTAATATTTGCACTGGCGTGCGACAACAACAGTTTTTGCGTACGCGTAGTCACGATTACCGTACCGCACGGTAATATTGTATTGGGCGGCGAGGTGTCGTTACGGATGGTGGGGGGGGGTGGTTGTGGTGGTGGTGGTGGTGACTGGCGGCCGGGTCCGCTTCTGCGGTACGGCGACGGCGGTGAAATCCGGACGCGGGATTTTTAATCGGACCGCGGAATTGTTATGATTATTTGTCGCGGAAACCTTTACTGTCGCGGTGTGTGGTGGGGAGTGCGATATGGTTTTATAGACACAACAAAAACGACACTACTCGCTATGCCGACCGTTTAATAACGATGGCGGCGGCGGCGATAAAATCTAATCGTAACCGTATATCACCCAGTGTATTGTTTCAAGTTATAAACGATAATATTATTATGCGACATAGACAAAACACCGGTCCCGCAAAATATAACAGTATTATTATTGTTAATTTTACGACGCGTCCGAAAACGGCACAGGGTATAAAGGCGCGGGGAAAATCGAGTACATTAGATCTTCGCAGTCGCGCACATAAACCGTTGTCGACGGAAACCGATTCGGAGCGAATTGTCGCATGTCTTTTTTTTTTCGCACGTCCTTAACGTACGTTTCTCCCAGATTATCACGAAAACCGCTTGGAAAATTAAAAATAAAAAATTATTCCTTTTCCAAGTACGTTCTTGGTCTGTTCATAAGACCTGGCGCGTAACGTAAATGAAAAAAAAAAAAGAAAAAAGGAACGACGTGATATTGGCGTCGGCGACGGTCAAAAGCAAAAGCGAAAAATATTACCGGCGGTCGTCCCGATGATTATATTATACGCGAGACGGGTACGCGCTGCGGTGTTGAAACGGAAAGAGAGAGCGACAGGACCCTCGCGTGGTACCGGCGGCCGCGGCGGCGACGGCCGAGCGTAACCATAGCGACCGGGCCGGCAGTCTCCGCCCTTGGCGTTGGCGCCATTAAAGGATCGCGGCGAATTCCCGAGGCGGCCATCGGCGGCGGCGGCGACGGCGGCGGCAATCACTCGCCGCCGTCGAGACTGCGGACGGCGCGGCGTCGTCGTCGGCACCAGGGACGGCGGGACGCGATTGTTGTTACGGATCGCGTAATTATTGCGATCACCGCGGCGGACGGGGTTAGCCGCGGCGTAATTCCCGTTATTACGCGGCGCGCGTCCGTCATCGAATTTCCGTCCGGGACTTTTGATTCCGCGGCGGAAAACTTTGGGCGGGTCAGCGCGCTGTCCGGAACGAATGGTTTTTTTTTTCTTTTCTTACGTCGCGACGTTTTTGAATTTCCCCTTCAACCTCTCCCCCCCCCCTCCAAAAACCCGATCCGAAATGTACGCGCGGGGATTTTTCGGCGGCCCCGACGTATTGCACGCAGGGATCGTCGAGAAGGTCGTTTCGCGATTTCGTCACGGTTATAAATAACCCGGAACGCCACCCGTGTGGGTCGTATGTCGGCAATTTTTTTTTTTTTCCCGTTTTTCGAAAACGTCGAATATCTTTAGCTCCCGCGCGCCGTACGCACACGCCGTGTCGTAAAGAATTTCCCCCGCCACGCGGACGGCGGCGGCATAATCGACCCTCCCACCATCTCTCAGGCCCGTCGCGCCCCCGTCTCGTACGGAACATAACGATAACAGTAATAATAATAATGATAATAATAATAACAATAATAACAATAACCGTATACCGCGTTATATACCGCCCGCCGTTACCGCCGTTTATCCGGCTATTATCAGCGGTGGCGGCGTCGTTTTATCTCTCCGGTCGTCCGCATTACGTGCGGCGTTATTTCGCCTGCTCCGCCGCCGCGCGCCACGCCCGGCCATAGTTGTTTAATATTTCCCCGTCCGGTGCTGCCCCCCCCCCCCCGTAGTCGTTACCGTTATTACCCGCGACCCTCCGGCCGAGAGCCGAACGTTCGCGGAACCGAAATTAATTTCCGGGTCCGCGTATTCGTTAGGGACCGCGGGGGAGACGCGCAGGCCGCACCGCCGTCGCGGCCGGGGAATTCCGTAGGTGTGCCGTAGTATACGCGCGCAACGGTCTCGCAGCCTTTCTCGGCCCCTTTGTAGACCATCGAAATTATTCGGTATTCGTACCGATCGAGACGCGAACAAACGAATGACCCACCCCGTCCGTTTTTCATTTTCCCGCTTGAAAATGATTTTCCAAAGACAAAACTTTCGCGAAACGACTGCTCGCGACTGCCCGGCAACGTGTACGCGGCCGCGTCCTCCAGGACGGGAATCGCCGCTGCAAACAGAACGGGACCCGATTGCCCGGTGAAACTCTCAATCTCGACTGACCTAAACTCTGGCTGTTTCGCTTCTACACTCATCCTCGTAGTTACTTTCCGTCAACTCGAGCCCGTTGCTGACGCCTTCCGGGTTCGGTCCCGTCATGGCTGTACACCGTCCGCGAACATCTCGCCGCCGCGCCAGTCGCCCCCGCCTCGCCCGTCGTCCCCGCGCACGTCGTCAGACGGGACGGTCCGCGAGAACTCCCCGTACCGCGTGACGGATGGGAGAACCTAACCGCGTGATAATATGATGTCGAACTCGAAACGGGACGCCGCGAGTGTTATTCGGCGCCGTATTGTCCGTTCCGGTCGTCCGCATCACGTGCGGCGTTTTTTCACCTGCTCCGCCGCCGCGCGCCACGCCCGGCCACAGTTGTTCAATATTTTCCCGTCCGGTGCTCCCCCCCCCCCCCCCNCCCCCCCCCGTAGTCGTTACCGTTATTACGCGCGACCCTCCGGCCGAGAGAGTTTTCTCGAGATGCCGACCACTGTGTTTTAACGGCCGGGCCTATTATTTTTTTTTTTTTTTTTTTTTTATCCTCAATTCGTTTACGCGGACTAAACGCGCGTCTGTAATCGCTTTACGCCAGTGAAACGCGAACGATTAAAACGGGTCTGAGTTCGGGACGGCGCGGCGGTATTTTTTCTTTTCTCGTTTCGATTTCGGTCTGTCGGGGGGCGGACGGGCGCTTTTTGTTGCGACTCGGCGGCGCTCGCTGGTCAACACTGCTTAGGTGTATTACACACCTAACGCAATTGATACGGTCCATACTCGTGTATCGTTCGAGAAAAACGCAACCGGGCCAAACGGTCTCACCAGCTCGTTGCGTCCGCGTGTACCGTCGGCGGCGGGGTCCGCGCGGTTTTCGAAACGAACCGTTGTCGCGCGTCCCGGCAGCGAAATCTCTCGGACCCGGCGGATCGATTCGCTCCGCGGGAAAAACGGCGCTTCGGACGGCGACGCTTGCTGCCGGGGGATGGCGTTTAACTGTTGTAATTTAACGGAATTACCGCGGACCAAGGCGAAATCAAAAAAACGCGAGAGGTACACGCTCGCCGTGTATCACTATAATCCGCGGTGGATGTGCACGCGCGCGCGGTTTTTTACGCGAAGCGAAAAACCCGCGGCCGCTCCTTTTTCCTTGGGAAACAGTCGTGTCCGGTTATTTACGCACGACGGGTACACGGCTGTTTATTAATTTGCGCGGTAAATTATTGAACTTCCTGCCGATTATCGGGCGCGTGGCTCCCACACCGGCCGTATTTTTATCGTTATTATTGAATACATTATGTTAATGCGCGTTTAAATATACGAGCCGTTCGCGGTAATAATAATTTCGACTGTCCGGCGATATAATTACGAACCGCGAAAATCGTAATCGTATGTTAATAAGAGTCGTTCGTATATACATACGCAGATAGCCGTCTCGGTCTATAATAACCGACGGGCGACGACACGGCGGAATTTTTAAATTTATGTTTTGAAGTTGACACACATTTTGCCGAACGCGCCGAGACGATCCGAGTCCGAACAAATAACAGAATTCAAACACGTGAATATTTCCGACGGCCGTGCGTGTAGGTATTTTCCCTCCCTCCACCCCCGAAAAATTGTCGTACGAAAAAACTAAAGCATTTTTGAAAAAAAAAAAAATCATTGTAATATTACAATATATAATAACGTTTTTTGCACGGACGGTTGTTCCGGGTAAAAGCTACAAGTATATACGGCTCTCGAAAATATTCTCCTCGCTCTTTCATATTCGTTTGTCTGTGGTTTTTCAATTCTATTTCAACACAAACGCGACAATTCGTGTCGGTTAACGACGATGGACGTGTGACGCCGCAGTACTCATGAACGCGTTCGGCATTAAAGCCGTTTTCGGTGTTTTCGTCTAAACTTCAAACGGTAATCGTAACGACTTCGAGGTCAGGGGATTGACGGTTATTATATTTCGTATGTTTTCCGACAGTCGCGAACTGAAGCGTTTATCAATAATCTAGGCGAATCGTATTTCGCAAGGCGCCATTCGTCTTCGTCATTATTGCCTCTGCAGTCCCTAGCTGCGTGTACAGTATTCCGTAAAAACGACAAACACTTCATTCACGAAGGGGAATGAATTTGACCAGCGAACAATAAAACCAATGTCAATGCGAAACACGAAAACGGATTTATTCATATTACGAGTTATAAATAATAGGTGCATGGGTTCTACGGGAATGTTTAACTGTGTGCGGTCGAATCGCGGTGCCGTTTGAACGTTACTCAAAACGAATATTAACTCGACAAACGACTTTTAGGAAACTTCTGAAGATCTCTTCTAAATTCTAACCGGTGCAAACGGGCACGCATCGGTCGTTCCGGATCCCGGGGTTACGCCGTGGTGATTCTAACGCGAACGTACTGTAACGTATCGCAACACTATTTACGAGCGAATAGTACTCGACTGCGGTCGATTTTACACGTTTCAAAATATTCGTGTATAATACTTATTGTGCGTTGTATACTTTATGAATTTTTCGGTTTTTTTTTTTTTGTTTTTATTCTTTCGTTTTATTACACGTTTCGATTAACTATACCGCCGTCGAGTTAATAAATATTACCCACACACACGCACACACATATCGTTTCGATCGAAACTGATAACGTAATAACAAGATTATTTATGTTTAATATGTATTTTATCGACGTGTATAATAAAGACAGAAGAGAAAAAAAAAAAAAAACTTAATATTCAAGGTTGCGGCCCGCGAACGTACGACTTTACGAAATCGACGCGTTCTTAAATAAGTACGCGGTTTCGCGATACGCGAAACAGTCTGCGCATATTAACAATACAACATTATCGTACTCGTCGTAACCATCTGTTGTACAACTGTTTTAGTTTTTTTTTTTTCTTTGTTCCTGGTACTGATACGATATTTCGTGTCCGTATCCGACGTTATTATTATCGATTACTAACGAACGTGGTTTTCCTCTTTTTTTTTTTTTTTTGCCGCAGGTCCGAACGGATGTCCGCGACGCCGGGGCCGGCAGACGTACACCAGATTCCAGACGCTGGAGCTGGAAAAGGAGTTCCACTTCAACCATTACCTGACGCGGAGGCGGCGGATCGAAATAGCGCACGCGCTGTGCCTGACCGAACGTCAGATCAAGATATGGTTCCAGAACAGGCGGATGAAGCTCAAGAAGGAGCTGCGGGCCGTCAAGGAGATCAACGAACAGGCGCGCCGCGACCGGGAGATCGAACAGGCCAAAAAGCAGGAGCACACGAAAATGGACGGCGGCGGCGGCGGCATACACGTACAGCAACAGCAGCAACAGCAGCAGCAGCAGCAACAGCAACAGCAACAGCAGATGCACCATCAGATGTCACACGAACAGCACAAACTGCAGATGGCCGGACTGGACAAGGGCACGGTCGACATGCTCAAGGCCAAAACGTAAATACCGCCGGCGCGCAATAACGACAGTGATAACAACGTGACGACGACGACGACGACGACGGTGATAATAACAATAACACGTCGCGATTCGGAAGATTTTTTTCAAATATTTTAATATGACAATTATTATTATTGTAATATTTTAACCTCGTCGCGCGGTTACTGTGAGTATAATATTGTCGGCCGATCGCCGTCGCAGTTATCGTTATACCGTTATTGTTGATTATTTATTATAATTATTATGATATTTTGTTGTATAAAATACATATTTTTTTTTTTTCGATTCGAAACATATACGTAATAATATTATATTTAATATATTAATTAATCTATAGACGAAAAAAAAAAAAAAAGAAAAAGAAAGAAAGAAAAAGTAAACACTATTCATCAATATAATTATTATATTAAATCGTATTTATAAAATTAATTTTAAACGATTACCTAATAATAATTCGCTACGCATTGATAAATGACTAATACGTTTCCACCCCCCCCCCTTCCACCGTAAATTTAAGACTTTTTTAAAAGTATTTTTCATATTATTTTATTGTAATATAAATTAATGACGCGAGACGTTATCGTACCGCGTGTTATTATTATTACCGTAAAGGCCTGATAATATTGTTTTCCCGCGTGTTTCTTCTCTTTATTATTATTATTATTATTATTATTTTTTTCTCGTTATTTTAATTTATTTTCCCTCGGCCCGAGTCGATTTTCTTCGCCGTATTGTTCTCGAGACGCGAATAATAAAAATAATGAAAAAACGTCATTCGATCCCCATTATCCTTAAACACGCAGAGCCGATAATTGTTGTTTGTTTGTTTGTTTTTTTTTTTTCCCCGTTTGTTTTTGTTGAGTATTGTTTTGACGTTAAACGTAAAATCGCGCGTTCCGTTCCACCGTACGGTGTATTACTACGACACTACGGCCGGAACGATTTAAAATTTTCAAAAACACGTTTTTTAACGACGCAGTCTTCTCCGCGACAAATACAGTTTTCCGTTTCGACCGGTTTTTTCCCCGCTTCTCCCGGAGGCGTCGCTTTCTCGCGACCATCGTCAGAGTCCCCTAAAAATAGCCACCCCACCCCCTCTAAGCTTCCCCCCGTTTGTCCGCCCGTCCGCCAAAAAAAAAAAAACCGTTTTATTAATTTTATTTTTTTTTTTTTTCAATCGTCCACCCAACGAACCGAGACCGAGATACGCGATTGTAATATTATACTATAGTACCGTTATTAATTTTTTACCGAGGGATTTGTTCAACAGTCGACGTTGTTCCTACTCGCAAGTATTATTATATGTTATTAAATATAGTTTTGTTTGGTTATTATTATTATTATTATTTTTTTTTTCTTTCCCCAATATACGATTATTATTATTATTATAATTTCTTTTTTTCCCCTTATCAGGCGCGTCGAGTACCTATAACGTAGTATACGACTACAACATTTGTAATATTAGTGTGTATATTAAATTGGAGGACGTACGTGTTACATATATTATACGTGTTATAATATACACAGGTGTGCGTTAGACACGCGCGCGTGAATTTTCGTTAAATTTCTATTATTTTCCCCGTCCCGGTTTGATAAAAAAAAATTCGTTTTGTTTAAGTTTCCGATTATTACGTTTTTACCGACTATTTTTATTATTCATTTTTATTATTATTTTTTTTTTTTTTTGATTTTCCGGTTTAAGTTTATCACGTTTCGGCGCCGATGCATTTCGTCCGGCGTCTATTACTATACTGCTATTATTATTATTATTATTATTATTATTATTCTTTCTCCGCCCTCGCCCCCCCTCCCCCCTGTTTGTGATCTACAATTAGTTTTTTTTTTTTTCAATTTCGCTCCCCGGCCGTTAATATCGCGTCAACAATACAACAACAATAATATAGTAATAATAATAACAATGTTTCGTTAAGTTCTTTTTTTTGTGTTCATATTATTATTATCATTATCCTAATATTATGTAGACAAATCGTTGTTTTTTTTTTCTGCCCCGCGACTCGTGCGTAGTTACACGGCGTATCATAGGGACGTTTATATAACGTGAAAATCCGCGAGATGTCGCGACGGCGTTTCGTTTCGTTTCGTTTTTTTTTTTTTTTTTACCAAGTAAAGTATTTTCGCCGCCAGATTAAGTTTTTAATTTTTTTTCTCGTGTAAATATATATTTTTCTTTAATATTTAAGTATACCTAGTGTTGTAACGCTTTTTTTTTTTTTATTACGATTAAATACAATTAAGTATATAATATATTAAATTTATTTTTACGACTATCTTTATAACATTAATATAATTACGATTGTAATAATAATAATAACAATAAACCACAACCGAATAATAATAATACATCGGTTTCGTTACTTTTAATTTATTCATTTTTTATGTTTTTATATGCCGAAATTTTTTCCGATATCGTATATTATTATTATTGTTTCGTTTGCGCGGTAAGTTTGTCTACGCCCATATTGTTATAAAAAAAAAATAAAAAAAAAACAAAAACGGTCGCAATTCCGACAATCTTTACACGAAAAATACGCGTAGGCCGAAATCCGTATATAGTTTGTATAATATTATAATAATGTAATCTATAATAATTTATTAACCGCTTTTATACATAATTTACATACATTTTACGTAGATTAGGATACTTTTTTTTTTGTCTCCGCAGCGTTTATATTATAACGTACCTATATATATACATAAACTATGATAATTATTTTATAGAATATTTATAAGGTCTTATTTTTTTAATTTTTTTTTTTTTTTTTAGGTCGATTAAACATACCGTTTTCGAAATTATATATACGTATTGAAATTGTTTGCATAACGTAACGTTTAGGGTTTATTTATATACGCGTAAATTATAATATTTTGTATTTTTAAGGTCGTCGATGAAACATCGATATACTATTGTATAATATATATAAAAAAAAAAAAAAACAAAAGTAACTTTTCGTTTTTTTTTTTTTTTTTTTTTTTTTTTTTAAAACGACTCTTTTTTGTATCCATCACATATATACGTAATACATAATTATAGATTCAGGGTAGGACATTTTTTTTTTTTTATAAATAATAATATATTGTATAGAGACTGCGAATACGATAATTATATTGTCGAAATAATAATATATTATATACGTATATTATATTGTAATTCTAGAATTCCTAAGAAAAATAAAAATCAGCGGAACGTTTTTTTCGTCCGATACGATATATTATTATCTATTCTTTATATTATATTATATATATTATTATCATTATTGTTTGAAATTAATATTATATTTTCTGTTGTTTCGAATAATATGTAACGCTAAGTGAAATCATATGAAAAAAAAAAAAAAAATGAAAGACATATACGTAAATAGCATTAATTAAAAAAAAAAACAAAAAACAAAAAAAAATATATATATATATATTATAATAACGTGTGAAAAGTCGATCTGCTAAGACTAATATTTTTTAATTATATTTATTATACATTATTATTATTATTATATACTATAATACATATTGTAATGTTGTCTTTTATTTTTCTCTGTCTAGCATACAGTTTTTTTATTTTATTTTTAGCGTAGTGTTTATGATAATATAATATATTAAATATACGTAATAAAATAATATTATGTATTTATGTACGTACGTATAAATGGCGTAAATTATTTTCAAAGAATGTACTTAATGTGTAAATAAATACAATAAATAATATAATACGAGTGTAGTGCAAAACTGTAGGCTATATTTTCTTTTTGTTTTTTTTTTTTTTTTTAACTATATAGAAATTTAAATGTTAGAATATATTATTATAATATCATTAAAAAGTAATGTTTTTTTTTTTTGTTTTTAAGTGTTTTTTTTTTTTTGGAAAATTAAACAAGCTTAAATCCAGTGCAATATAAAAAGTATATTTTTTGAAGTTGATCTATTTATAAAAAAAAAAAAAAAACAAAATTAAATATTACCAAACGAGTATTTATATTCCGGGCGGACCGGAATCGACGGACAAACACGAAAAAAGCATTAGAGTAATCGGGTTTTCAATCGCCGGTATATCAGTCAATTCCAACAGTTGCGACGCGTGGTTTTTCGATTCAAAATGTCGCGTACCACTATAGTATACAAATCGGAATTCGGTAAACAGCCGTGTTGGCCCATCTCCACTGTTTATGTGTACGTGTCATAATTGTATAGTTAAATCTATGCATAGGTTTTTTACACCTTGTACCGATTTCGACGTAGGACAGTCCGCGTTCCGATCGAAAGCGTGTGTAGGCTACATATGTTATGCTGTACAACTATACGCCTATACTTTGCAAACGAACGGTCAATATAAATAAACAGTCGGTGTTCTTTCGACAAAGTTTTTTTTCTTCTTTTTATTGAATAATATTTGTTTTTTATTGGAAATCGACGCGAAGACGTGTATAGTAGGTATCGGAAGATTTATATCAGATACACTTTTTACGAGTGTATAGGTACGTACCTACGTATATTTAATAGACTGTGTGTTGGCATTTTAAGCTCTATAAAAAAAAAATATAATACGCGGCGCTACAACAAACATGGCACGTACTTTATAGTAATATTATATGATTATAGTTCAATATTATCGAGTTTTTAAGTTTTCATCGTAAAACTATACGGTCATGGTTGCAATTTTTCTTCGCTTTCGAGAAACGGTATATTTTTACAATCATAATAGTTTTGTAAAATTATTATTATTATACGAAAACATGGTAAATGGAGTAGCGGTAAAAAAATAGTATTCAAATAAAGCTCAAATTATTCCACAATGATTAAAAAAATTAGGCAAAAATCAATTTGTATAGCCAATAAGTAACTGCGCAGAATTAACAAAAATAAAAGTACATATTAACAATTGTTGCCAGCTTTTTATTGTTTATTTAATTTCAGAGAAAAACTATTGGGAATTTAAGTGTTTTTTTTAGAAAGATTTTTGAAAGATTAAGTGCCACTTGACAAAAAATCTGCTTATTTTAAGATTATTTGGAACATTTTAACTATAGGTAACTAAAAAAATATTTTCCGAGGGAAAAAAACAAAAAAAATGAAACCGACTTCACGCCGTATTTGCTGTCAATTGGGTTTAAAAGTTATACTTTGACTAATAAATATTCCACTTATTATTACGACCCTGTATAAACACCGTGGCTATAATTTGGGAACCACTGCGTTAATACCGAAAACTTTCACGATTTTTTCTAGGTTTTTTGTTAGGTTTGAAAGTACAAAAAAAAAAAATGATTTTCTTACGCACCAAATAGACAAAATTTTCTTTCTGCAAAAAAATACTACACTCAAAACATTAGAAGCGAGATTTCTGGTAGAAATGTAATTCACAGACACAAGCAAAAATAAAGAGCATATTTTATTATAATGTTTTACTTTAATAGTAAAACCACCGAACTCTCGTTGCGCTAGCGAAAAAATGATGTACTCAGTAGCTTACTGGTTTTCTATTTAATTCTATACTTATAATTACATCTAAATGAAAATCAATTTAGATGAATATCTGATCAAATCTAGACAAATATAACCCGTCTATGTATAACTCGGTGACATAGGTGTATTGAATCTTATAGCTGTATTTAAGTTAGGGATCGGGAACCTCTTTATGTAAAGAGTCATTTAAAAAAAAAAAAATTGCAAAACCACGATTTTCAAAGAGCCCAATGATTAAGATAAAAAAAAAAAACCATACTATATTACGAAAAACGCCTAATATAGTATACTAAGGAATTTCACTGGGAATTGGTAGGCATATAATCGAATCTTAATTTATATATTATGAATCTAGCTCTAGATAAAAAATGTCTAGATATTGGTGCATTTTCCAAAGAACTGCTGTTTGCATGTTAAGGAGCCGCAGGTGCCTGACCTCTGATTTAGGCGAGTCTAGGGGTTAGTCGATCTGACCTAATCGCGGAAATGTCGCAACGTCACACCTTTGCGCGATGACATTGCAGATGATCGTTTGACATACACTGAAAACGTTTTTGGAGCGCTGTTTTGAGTAACCCGGCTACTGGTTTTCGCGAACCTATCAGTTTGGCGATATTGTTTGATATACGTAACTTAATGCACTACGTTTACTGCAGGTATGTCCACCGGTTAAATACTGCAGTATACAATAAGCACAACGTTTTGGCGATCGTATCGTGCAACCATCATACAGTTGCAAACAAACTGCAGCAAACTGTCTGCCGGTAATTGCATCGCCGAAAACACGCCTACGCCGGTATTCAGTCCGTTTTCCGAGTACATTGAAGGTCGTACGATACGGCGATAAAAATATATACCCATTCGAAAATTCCTTACCAAATATCCTCGTACACGATATTATTATAACGTATTATTTTATGGTACCTTGAAATACTTGTACGCATAAAGGTGTACACGGCATTAAGTCGGTAATATTCAATAGCGTCAAACGTAAATCACGCGATATCACGTTTTGTATATTTTTTCGTACAGTAGCATTTGTATTATAATCGCGGGACGTACGAACTTTCGCGTGTAAACGAAAAGAAACGCGGGCCGCCACGTGTGCCAACAGCAGTATATAATTTACTATTAATACGCTCGATCGGTGTAGAATAAAAACGGTCGTAAAAAATCGTTTATTTTTTTTCTATTTCCTTTCTCGACCACAGCAGCAGGCTTTACGAACGCGCGCACACGGCACCCGCGGCACGCTAATTTCTTGTTCGCCTTATCCCCGTCCTTTATAAAACCGTATACACGTATAATATTATTATTAAAGGTAGAATGTTGATAATCTAAAGCGGAACCAAATATGACCGAAAAAAAACCCCCCCTTTAATGACCTGAAAATATAATAAAATGAAAACGCCTATTATGAGTGATTTTAATATTATTAATGACTTATAAACTAAAGTAATAAAAACAAAATAGGTCTTTGACGTCACCGTGGAAAAATATAACGTTCGATATGCGTTTATATGGCCAATTGTCTGTAAAAACTTTTGTGTAGTAGGACATGCATACACCAGCTGTACGCTGTAAATTATTATCGCAACAAAAATTATATTTTTAAAAATGTAAATATTATTTTTGAAATACAATAGTTATGTAATATATTCGAAATCTAAGAACGCATTTTTAGTTAATGTAGTATAACCGAGGTTCTAAAACATTTTTTTTTCTCGTATCATTTAAATGTACGTATACTATGGATCTGACTCGTACCACTTATATGGTCAGAGTGGCCTAGGCCGTTTTATCGTCTAGTTAACGGTTTTTAAATAGTACAAATTTATTGATTTGTTTGTAATCTCCGTCAATTACCAATACATTTCAAAATTGGATATACCGACTGATTCTTTTCGAACGGCCCAGATCAATTCCTATACGTACATCACGTATACCGCAATTTGAAAACCGCTGGCGTACAGGACAATAAAGGGAAACGAACGATGAAAAGTCATTAACGTCATTACAGGACTGTAATATCAGCTGTCGCTATTATACTCGGGACTTTCTCGCCCTCGTATATATCGCGAATTTTTCGATTTAATTTCGCGTCGTCCGCGTTATCTGCAGGGCGTGCAACACACGTGACGTCTATTTATAATATGTACGGGCCACGAGCCGCTGCTACGACGCGATTTTCGTGGCGTATAGAAAAAAAAAAAAAAAACAAATGCCGAGAGAAAACCGTCGCTGCGGCACGGGCTCAGCCGTTTTTTTTTTCCTTTTTACCACGACGAGGGGCGGCCGCCCCGAGAAAAATCCATAAAA